CATGGGCTCATGCAATTTTGTTAGTCTATGAAAAAATTTACTCTTGCTTATTTATTCCAAATTGCACTCGAAATCATGTGATTACCTATACACTGAAACTGGAACTCCACTCAGTCTTCCCGCTATTTTCTGACATTCTGTTTTGTGCTGCCTTTTTACAATTTTGAATTTTACAACTGTAACCTTAATTAAAGAAATTTTGACAATCAGACAACTGTAGCATGATGAGCTTTGTGTTGGAAAAAATTTTTTATGCAAATTAGTTGGCTGCACATTCAATGTGCAGCCAGCTAATATGCATATTAAGTAATTCAAGCCAAGGTTTGATGCCTCTTGGTGGCATGAGGTGTTCGCTGAACATTCCAGGACATCCAATAATCCCTACAAAAAAAGTTAATAAAGCTCCCCTCAAATGAAATGGAAAAAAACCCCAACATCCGATAATTACATTTCCAATCGTTTTCCAGATACAACTCTACTTTGTTTGCTCATTTTCCAAAAACAAGAGTCCAGAGAAAAGCCTCATACAAAATTAACAGGTCTAATTTGAAAAAACCTAAGGGGCAGTATGCTAAGCTCATTTTCTTTGTTGAAACAATACATGTCTTAAAGAAGACAACAGTAAATCGTTAACACAAGGCCCACAAATAGTCCTGACCAAATATTACAGAAACAAACAGGAACAATTTAAAACACATAAGAAGAAGAAACTCAAAGATGGCCTAAAAAGTGGCATCAGTTAAGCTGATTTCGCCTCCATGATCGAAGCCAAGGCCTGAATAAGGCTAACTCCAACAAACCCTTCTCTATACAGGTCATGGTTTGTACTTTTAAAGTCCAGAAACTGTGTTGATTAGATAATCCAGAGAATACAGACTGATGGTCTCCCTGTTCAGTCTACAAGCTTTGGCGCAATGCAACTATCCTTATAATGACCTTTTATGTGCAAAGATTTTGGAATGGCATTTTTAGCTTTTACAAAGACATCACTTTTGCCAAAATCAACTACAAAAGGGTATACAAGAGATTAAAAATAACTCTCAAGTATATACTACCCAAGAGGGTATAGAAGAGATTAAAATTACCCTCAGGTATACACTACCCAAGAGCGCGTAGAAGAGGTTAAAAACAACCGTCAGGTATATGCTACCCAAGAAGGTATGCAAGAGATTAAAAATACCTCTAAGGTCTATACTACCCAGGAGGGAATGCAAGAGATTAAAAATAACCCTCAGGTATAAACTACCCAAGAGGGTAAAGAAGAGATTAAAAGAGAGTAGAGCCCAAGAGAGTATAAAGGAAATTAAAAACAACTCTCAGGTATACACTACCCAAGAGGGTATAAAGGAAATTAAAAATAACAATCAGGTAAACACTACCCAAGATGGTATAGAAAAGATTAAAAATAACCCTCAGGTATACACTACCCAAGAGGGTAAAGAAGAGATTCAAAGTAACCCTCAGGTATACACTATACAAGTGGATATGGAGATTAAAAACAACCTTCTGGTGTACACTACCCAAGAGGGTATGGAAGAGATTAAAAATAACCCTCAGGTATACACTACCCAAGAGAGTGTAGAAGAGATTAAAAATAATCCTTAGGTATACACTATCCAGGAGGGTATGCAAGAGATTAAAAATAACCCTGGGGTATTCACTTCCCAAGAGGGTATAAGAGAGATCAAAAGTAACCCTCAGGACATTGGAAACATATTCCCTCTCCTCAGCCTTTGAATCGAGTGAAGATGGTAGACAGTCAGCCCTCTTAAGTAAAGTTTTGGCTACAGACTTTTTATGGAAAATAGGGTGGTGAGAATCGAAAGCGAGGTATTTGTCGGTGTGGGTGGGTTTACGGTAGACACTTGTCTCTTAATTACCGTGAACCCCTCTGGACACATTTAAATCAAGAAAGTGAAAATGTCGATCCTTTCACGCTCTACTAAATTCAAATGCGACAAGAGGCGCTCAGTGCTTCATTTCCGGATACCGCAGAAATAACATCATATAACATGAAGGCGCTAGACAGGAGTGTCGAAACGTTGGGTCTATGAATTGTAACTTCTTCAGTTACATTCATTAAATCTGCAAACCAGTGTAGCATCAAACTATGTCAAATTCTTATAATTTTGCCATGGCTGTTATTTCGTTAGATGACCATCTCACAGTTAAAGCTTCGGCCGCCAGTGGTTTGTTATATGTACGCAATGTTTTTGCAATCTGTGTATGTGTACTTACGTATGTGCGCGTCCACGATTTCTTTTCCATGGAAAAGGTTCATTTCTGGACGAAATCAGTAGGCTAAGTACGGCGTATCCGGCCGAGGATTCGATACTTGTCATACAGGCGATGACATCACAAGCTTCTCGTCACACTATATGAAAGCGCCACATTGAATCATTTGGCGAGAGAAATCTGGGGAGAGATCAAGACGGACTGTTTCCATGGGACTTGCCGGATGTAAGGAAATGTTGAAAACTCTAGCAAATTCTTATAAGACCCCATCTGATACCGAAAACAAAACAAAGCAAAACATCACTCAGACCTTGCAGACCCTTTGTATTTTTCTACAAAATTTCGCATTCAAAACACAGGGGAATAGTTGCTGATTTGTTTTAAGCCTGGTTACCACATCCCATAGGAACTCCAAATGGTCGGGAACCTTAATTTCCCACGCAAAATAAATTTCAATCTTTAAAATATCCATTTCGTGATAAGAACCCCTAGCCAAGTTAACATGCAAAATTTGAGCCAAATCAGTGAACCTACCTGTTCGACGTGGTCCGACATTTACGGACTATCACGTCTAAAAATGACAAAGAAACGCGCACACAGAAATAACATCTAAACAAAACAAGTCAAGTGATAAATTGGGGGCATCGTGGTTCCAAAAAATCACAGAACCACCTAGATAAGAGGGTCTCAGTGGGGTGATGGCTTTAACGGCTTTTACGTTGTGATTGAAAGAAAAGTTTTTACGGTTAACTTTATCTACGATTAACGGTTAAAATTTGTCAATTTTCGCGCTTATCGGCTTTTTTTCGCCTTTTTTTACGTATGGTTAGCCTTATTGTTTTTATTACAACGAAAGGCTGGAAAATAAATTAACAAGAACTCCGCTTTTAGACTTGGCTAAATCTATATGTTATTGGTCACAACTGCCAAAAATTGATGAAACGGCAAACCTGCACGAAGCTCATCGACGTCGTGACCCTGAATCAAATTTCACTCAGTATAATGTACATAGATCGATTGCTCGCGAGTAGAGACGTTACTGTAGAAAAAAAAGACACTTAGTTCGTCGGCACTAACATTGCCGTAAGCTAGGGATGCTTAAGTAAATCTTAAAATGAAAACAAAAATAGTTGTGGATTGCTGAATCTCACTCCTATTCGAAAACAGAAATTTTCTCCCAAGACTGATCGATTTTTAGAATGAGTAACCGCCAGAGATCTCAAGTCTTTCAAGATGCTTTGTCGCGATAGAAGGAGTTTTGAAACGCCTGGTATTATCTTGCCATTATATGCACCCCCCCCTCCCACTCTCCCGAAAGTGTGTAAGCGTTGTTTTTTTTGTCTACACTGTAATGTAGCCCCTTAAGGGTGTTTATCAAGATCCAGGATTTTCCTTCCATCCTCCATATTTTCACACCTCTCCTCGGAACTGTCTGAGCTATCCAGAAATGTTCATGCCTCTGGGACGGCAACGTTGGAAAACAACAGTCTTTCTTCCACCGAAGTGCTGTTATTAATAAATTTATCAGTTCTTATCTCACTACTATCCTCACATGATGGAAGAGTCATCACGACCCCGCCCTCCCCCCTTTCAGCCATTGACATCTTCAGCCTGAAAAAAAACACTTCCTTGTTTTCTTTCAACTGCGATATATTTCTCAGCTCTTCCTTGGAAAATTCCTCGCTTCCCCTTACATCCTTCCTAAAATTAATACCCCTGTGGTTCTTACTAGTTTGCTTCGTCTCTTCAGGCATTTTAGTCACCTGGGCCTTGGTTATTTAAAGCAACGTTACGACAGTTTTGATGTAATCAGTTTTCATTTGGTTTTCAGGCTAAATCTATATTTGTTTATCATTGTGCTTCCTTAAGTTTTATCTAGCAGAACGTTAGCCCTATGAAGCGTCCAAATCAAGAGAAATAAAAACTGGATAAGCATCAGCGACCCTTTTGAACACCAGGAGTCCGACCTGGTCTGCGAGACTACAGCCCACTCGGTCACTGCAACACTCTTTACTTCCTCTAAGTACACGAGGTAACAAGTGACTATCACAAGTAAAGTCGTTCAAATGAATAAAGGGGTACGTTTCTAAAGAAATTGTGGTGCTGCGTTCACGAGAGGTAAAACAAGATTTTTTGTTTTATCAACTGAGTTGACTGATGTAAATTAGCTACCGTAAAGAATTTCTAAAATTGACGTTTGAAGCGTTGGCCCTTCGTCAAAAAGACGAGGTCTTAAACTAAACAACACCAACACCAACAACAACAACAATAATAATAATAATAATAATAATAATTATTATTATTATAATAACAATAATAATAATAATAATAATAATAACAATAATAATAATAATAATAATAATAATAATAATAATAACGAATATTTAAACAGGATGGCCCCCTGCAGGTGTAATTCCTATTTCTTCAGTATTTTTAATGAACTTAGTTTTGTCGTATCTTCATTCGTATTAACAATAAATACATACTCTCAAGAGGGAATGTACCACAGTCTCTCTCCAAGGATGCTGGCAACATTTCTAATGAATTGGATAAGCGCAACAAACAGCTTCACAACACTGACGAGCGAACGCAGCGTATTTATGTATTAGGTCAAATCCAGGCCACTTGAAGAATTATTGCGAAACATTGATCTCTCATCAATATTAAATAGGGAAAATGGTCGCTACCCAGTTCTTGCTTCTCTTATCTTCCCGCCCATTTCGACTGGCTATGTGTAAGTACAGTACCAGAATGACAAAACTCACTTCAAGCACACCTTTTTTTAACTTTAATTGCGTAAAATCCTGTCATTATCAATGCATTATTTACATTTCAAACTACAGATAAGCTCTAAATACTTGAACACTCTTATGACCGAAAAAAGAAAAAAAATTATAACCCAAGACGGCCCTTCAGCTCTCCAAAATGTGACACACAACCCAAAAGAAAGTTCTCAGCGCAGCCTTTAGAACCCGCTAAAAACTTCACCATAAAGAATTTCTTTTTATATTCAAACAAGTTACCAACTCACATCCGAAGCAAGCATAATTAATCACGATGTCAAAGTGTCTTAAGAATTTTAAGCGCGATACTCACACACTCCCGACGACCAGTTAATCCTCTCACACTCGCATTATTATCACACGATATGTATCATTACATAAAGCTAAATATTAATTTCCATCAGAAGTGAAACAATTTAAACTAATTCTTAGACGGTCCAAGGTCTTGCGAACACGACCCCCCCTTCTCCCTTCGAAAAACAAAATAAAGCAGCCTGGCCTGTCCCCAAGTAATCAAAGGCACTTAAGTTGGACACCCTGACAGAGAGTTCTGTCAACGGCCTTGTCTAACTCCCTCTCTGGACCGCTGGAGAATCAAGTTAGTAACAATAATGATATGCTCCATACGAAACTTAACAAAAGAAACAAATGGCTAATATGATCTACATTCAACCAACCTACGAGACCAATAACCATCGAGAGACATATTTCCATATTCAGCTCTCCTTCCCAACGCAGAAACAAAAAGCAACCTCTAAATGGAACATAATTATAATAAAAAAAATTGCAGCTACATCATGTGTCATACTTCAGTTGAAATTACAATTTCAAACCACTCATGATGGACAAGATCAATTCTTTGACAGGACATACGGCCAATACCGATATATTCTCATGAATAGGAAATCTAATTATAAATAAATTATAACTCATCCCACAATCAGCTACTCTATTGAACACTGCCTTAATTTCCTCATATTTTCTTACGTTGAAATTGCTGTTTTATCTCCATAGGTGTTTGGTGCTCCCTCTTTGAGCTTATGGCTGTCATATCAAATTATTTGAATGAGTTAACTTGCAAGAAGCATTCGCCCCCATAACTAAGAAATAAATTTCTCATGAAATTGGAACAATTCAAATAGTCAAATAAACATCTGAAAAAAATCTACCTAATTTAGTATCAAAAGATTTCACTAAAAAAAATTCCAAACTAAAACCACCCCCTTTAAAATATAGTGGATCATGGGTAGAATTTTGTGTGATGGAAGGTAACATTAATTAATCACCTAAGTCACTGTTTGTCATGGACAAAATAGACTTAAGTAGAACTTCAACTATTGGAAAACTCCCATGGTATGACAATTTTGTAAGGAGAGATTTCCTTAAATCTAAACCAAGGGGACTTACAATTATGCTGACCTTCGTGCGTACTACATTTCACCCTACTTTTCAAAATATTTCCCTCCAACCCTTGCTTAAATTTAAAACTAAGGTAACATGAAAAACAAGACCAGCAACCAAGTGCCTCCAGGGCACTGTAGCAAACTGTTATCAAGGAACCTGCTTGAAAATTCACTGTTCTTCATGTTTTTGTCTGAGTCAATCTTCCTTAGTGAGTACTTTTGTCAGCCACTGTTTTAGACAAAAGCTACAAATTAAAACCATGGCATCATGATTGAATCACTAAGGGATTATTCATAGCATATCAACAGAACACACCTCACTCATTCAATGCACATTGTGTGTACTTCATTTGAGAAATAAAAAATTTGAAAGTTCCAACAAACTATTGAAGGCATCAACATTGCACTGTGATTACACAGAAGAGAATTTCAAAAGCCCCTCAAACAAGACCAGCAAAAAACTGCTGTAAAAACAAAATAAATATAAGAAAAAGCTGACGACCCACTCTGTAAGACATGTAAATGATACAATGAGACCTTCTGCAGATGTTTTGCTATGTGTAACTACCTTTGCAGTAAGGAACACACAACACACACATCCACTGCATGGAAGGTCACTGAAGACTTACTATACCATGCCATAGGGGCAGTGCAAAAAATCATTAACCCTTTAAGTCCCACTAGTGACAGAATTTCTCCTTAAATTATCAGTACAATATCAAGCAGACAAGTAATGAGAATAAAGAAAAATATCAATTGGGGGACTACTGGTTGATCCAATTCTAAATTCTCCAAACTAGCATCATATAAATTGTGTGGCAGACAGTAAGGAGAATTAGTCATGAAATCTTGGGAGTTAAAGGGTTAAAATGCAATTAATGAGTGTGGTTTATCTTACACATTACGCTATGAAGTATGTAGCACACACAGATTTGTATAAAATTCCTTTACAGAGTTCTCTGTTATGTACATGAATAAAGTACCAGTACTTCTATGAATATGTTCTAAAGAAAGCTCTCTACAAATGGAGTAACATGTACAGTAACTTATACACATAGTAGTAATGATAGCAGATTGGGCTGCCTGAGTTGTGGAATATTCTTGTGGAGTTGTAATATTTCACAATGTCCGGTACTTGTCTTCTGGAATAGGTCTGTACGATCAATAAAGAATATCACAAAATTAAATTGATAGAATGAACACATACCTATTTAATAAAGTTTACACAGCATTTAAGTGCAGATTTTTTATGTACCGAAAACCATGCCAATTTAAGAAAGTTTGTACAAAATTTAATTATATATTTGTTATTTCAGTAGGTTATTTCTGTGTTTCATGTACATGTACATGTAATCAAGAAAATTGCAAACAACAGTTGGGAAACTATAAACAATAAACCTAAGTCATGACTATATACATCTGTACATGGTGACATTCAAATAAACAGCAGTGTAGCTTCCGAGAGCCTATTTGGTTAAATGGCAAACAAAGTCCTCTGTCCAGCAATTCTAATATTATTTTTTTTAAATGAATTGCCTATACTAGAAAAGACATGTCCCCATAAGTACAAAGAAATAACAGTTAGTAGAGTTAAAAGCAGTCACTTGCCTACTGTATCCTCCAGGAATACTCAATGTGCCATCTTTTGTGAGAAGCACTGACAACTGGTTACCTTGAAGTTCATCACCTGGTTTGCAAGCAGAGAACATTACATCAACAACATGAAACTCTCTCAAAGGAATTGATAGGAATGAGGAATTAATAGAATACTGGGAAAAAAAAGAGAGCATAAATTCTGCAAGTGATGCCTTAAACTAATGAATAATTTAAATATTTCAACAATTATAGTAACTGACAGTGAGTTACCTGATGGATTTTCATCACCTGAAAAATTGTGCCTGGAACAAGATGAAAGAATCACGCAAAAAGTTAAGGAACACAACTGAAGCTGTAAAAATAAAATGCTTCAAAGCACTGTACATAGTAATAGCAATCCATCTTAAAATTTCACATACTGAAAAGCAACAAAAGTATTCAGAGACTGTACCCTGTTTTTGATCTTGAATAACTCTAGATCAGACACTGAATACACAGTTTGCTTAAAGCTGCATTGTACCATCCCAGTGCTTTAAAGTGCATGTACAACATGCATTCTTAATAATGTGTGCAGCTTACCCACTAAAAATTTGTTCGATGACATCATCTGCATTAACTCTGCTGTGGCTTGATCTTTGGTCATCAGGTTTCTGTTTATCACAAAAATTTGTACAAATTATTTTGGAATCCTTGTTTTTGAGGACTATTGTAAATGTAAATGGAAGAGTCCTTAAACCCTTAACTCCTGTGAGTGACCAAGACAGAATTTCTCCTTACTATATCTGTACAATATCATACAGAAAAGAGATGAGAATAAAGAAAAATATCCATTTTGTGATTACTAATTGATCTGATACCAAATTCTCCCAACAAACATGATAAGAATCATTTAGCAGACAGCAAAGAGAATTAAAAATGAGATCTTAGGAGTCAAAGAGTTAAGAAATATGCAGGTACATGCACATATACATGTATAGCAAATTATAACAAAATTCATGACTTTAAAATAAGCTAAAAGGGAGGGCAAACTGCATCTACTTTTCATACCAGTTGTCCATTAACTTGCAAAATATAAACAGCTGACCAGCAACCTGTAAATTTTCTGTAGCTTTCGATTTAATTGTTTCTTGAGTATGAAGATCATCTGAACAAATACTTGTTCATGGTTTAAGGTGTGTGTGTATTTTGTCTAAAAGAAAGTTTGAAGTCTGTTTTTAATGTAAATGTTTTGTGGTTTGTTGGACATTTCCATGTAATTCTACAAAAAAAAAAAATGCTCCATGACCATTTGACACAGAAATATAACTATACCTTCCAGCTTATTCTCTTGCCTTGCCTCTCAGGAGCTGGTGACAATGTTTGCTCAGAACCACAAAATGCTGTGTCATCAGCTTTTAAGATGTTAAGGTTGATAAGCAACATAAAAAGTAAACAACATGGCAAAGCTTACAAGTATGATCTGAATTAGTGGGCAATTCATTTTACAGCACGTTAAAGACCTTTGTTCCTACACCTATAAAATAGGTTCTTTTTCACTACTTCACATTTGCTTCTCCGCATCCACCTCTGGAAATTTGAACCACTATAGACTGACTGAATTTATTTGTCTGTACTAACAAAAAACCTCATGCCCAACAACACTGTTACAAGTTACAATTATCTGATATTTCATAACAGTTGATGAAGGATACACCCTGAGTGCCCACCTTTCCCAGACCCTGAACTTTGTTTCCTGTTCATGGGAAAAAAATTGCATGACAATAATTACAAATAGGAGGAAGGTAATATGGCAATAAAATTAGTTTAACATCACCATGGCTCCTTGCCATTAAGTAAGCTACATGTATACATGTCTGGGCAGTCATTTACATCTGACACTAGTACTTGCAGACGATAGGATACTAATCAATTTGAGGATCCGATAAAAAAGATTGCTTTCCTCTCCAAATTAAGCAACAGTAACCCATTGAATGAAAATTATGGCCGGTTATTAACGAAACTTTTGAAGCCTGAATGGTGCAGCATACACAAGAAGAATCAATAAAATCAAGCAAAACAAAAGGGTGGCAAAAAGAAGAAAATAAAATGTTACACCTTTTTCTCAAATAAACATGTCAAACAAGTAGCACATACAGTTGTATGCAGTAGAAAAAAAAATTGCTTCACATGAAATCAAAATCATAAAAATGAGAAAAGAAAAATGGTGAGTGCATGGCTGAGTATGCTAACACCATTCCATGGTTGAATACCTCCTACTAGATCTGCCCTCCAAGCTGGATGAAAAAGAATGACCAGTTGAATACCCGGATATTCGTGACAGCGTGCTGATGCTCCTGACATGGCTACTGCCGCCACAGGGTGGCTCACTGAAGCTCCGTGAATGCCCAGGAATGAAGTTCACTTTATCAGGATCACTGCCTGCAGTTTCCTGATTTTCTGATATACTTTCTTGGCTGCCACTCAAGACTGATTTTCTTGCCTCAGCTACTCCTGGTGCATCACTGACTGAGTCATGATCAGAAGGTGGTGCTCTGTTTTCTGCTGTTTCAGTTGTCGCTTGATTGTGTGATGGTGAATAAGGTCTGAGGGAGAAAAGGTTATGTATAACAATTGGCACATTGTACATTTACTTTCTCATTATATCAAGGAGATATTCTGTGAAGATTTTAGATGAAGAGCAACCTGCAGAATCAATAATTAGTTATTTAGTTACATACTTAGCTCCTCCTGGAGCAATTAGTCCATCAATGTTTACCTGTTTCAGAACTCAAGGGATTTCTGAGCTTATCTCTTGAGCAAATTATGCTTAAATATGCACAGGAAATTTGAAAGAAATGGTTCTTTACAGTATTATCACAAGACCTGAGATGAGTAAACAAGACTTACAGGGGTCTTTTCATAACAGGATCAATAGCAAGGTAAAAATTGGCATGGCCAGCGAGCTTTGGGCACAATTTACCAAGTTTGATTTTCATAATCTTTGTCAATAGACACAACAGGTTTTAGTTCTGTTCTCTGATAACATACAATACTTCCACACTTCCTTCATTCTGTTATGTACAAGGTATTTTAATGAAGAATGTATGGTATGGTGTTAATGGTTACCTTTAAACCATCTCATTTTAAAAGCCCTTGAATAGCGTTATGTCACTGATTGAGATTGTAGAATGCATAATCAATATAGGAAAGTGTAACATGAATATTTCAGCACTTACACTTTAAAAATTGAATCTCCAGATGTGAGCTGCATACTGATTTCAACCTTTGAACAAAACCATGAGAGAGTGAAATTTTACAGAACAAATACAATTTTTTTGGCTAAGAATTCAATCCTTCAAAGCCTTTCATAAATTTCAATTTGAATAGCCTGATATTACCTCAAGAATTGAGTTGTCCTGGCGCAAATCAGTCTTGTTTTCATATCCTTCAAGAATATATCGCTTTACAGTTGAAGCTGATCCAGCAAACTCTGCTAAGTTCACATCCACAAAGCCAAGCTACAAGAAAACACAACAGAAATATGACATTACCGCTGTTCCAAATAAAATAGTAGATTACAATAAATGTGTTTAAGATCATAATGAGGTTGACAACTTGCAAGAAATTACAAGAAATATATGTAAATTGTCAGCTGTCATGTGACAGAAGACAATTACTTCATCAAAGAGAATATGCCAATATCTACCCTTGAAAAGAGAAATTGCCATGAAAGCCACTAAAAATAAAAAAGACGAGAAAAAATCGTAGACTATCTTAAAAGCAAAAGAGATTTTTTATTTGCTAGTAACTGTTAAATTGTACCAACCTTGATGTGACCTTTGCCTCCTTTGGTTTCCTTAGAAAAAAGGAGAAAAAAAAGCAGTTAAAGGACTGCAAGTACCAATCAGAAAAATATTAAGAGATTAGATAAGCAAGGGTTGGGTAAATTGACTCATCTAATCCTAAGGGGGTGGGTGGGTGGGATGGGTCTATTCAATGGTTCTTGAGGGATCTTCAGGGACTTTCCTAAGCCCTTTTTGTGTGGGATTTCCCACACTTTGTCAATGCTCGCGAAATTTATTTCTTTATTTATTTGTCCACGAGAGAGAAGTGCTTGTCACGTGGTTTCTATTTGCGTTCAGTGAGCCGTGAAGACTGGATTCCAGTCGGCGTTTTTTCACAGTGTATTGTACAGCGGCCATTTCTCTTCTCAGTCGTTGGGTTTTGGAGAACTTATTCGGAATTTCATGTTTGTTTCTTGGGGATTTTTGTTTCTAAGGTAAGGATAAGTCATTTCATATTTTCACGGGTTCTTTGCGTGCTTTAACTTTTCAATTTTGTTGTGGGAGCTTCACGATTAAGCTCTCACGAAAGGCGATTACGTTTGTACACCTGGTTTGTGTTCTTTCTTTCATAATCTGAGGCGTTTATTTCGTTATTTCTTCAGGTGTCTATAACAAAAGATTTTTTCACGTAAGTCAACACGCTGAAACACGGCTTGTGTTCAGTGCAGGTTGCACAGGAGCTTTTACGCTTTCACAAGCCAACATTTATCGGCTTGGACCTTCGGTGCGGGTTGTGTCAGATTGAAAGGAGTCATTGTACTCTCGCAAGCCAACATTTGTCGGCTTGAATGTATTTGTGCAGGTTGCGATTCAAAGAGTCTCAGGGTGTCTCAAAGTGTCTCACGAGTGTCTCAAAATGTCTCACGAGTGTCTCAAAGTGTCACAAACTGAAAGAAACTATTGTTTGCCTTGAACTGTCAAGATTGTTATCTATTTTAATAAACTGAGTTTCTAGTTAGTTGGATTGTTGTTGTTGCTCGCTCAAGCACACAAGTAAATATGGGGATCTCCATTGACCAATTCTTTTCAAGGATTGGATCTCATGAAGATTTACATCCTGATTTTAGTGAAAACTATGACCTCTTTGATGATCTCAACATTTCATCAACATTGCTGAATAATGAACCACTGATATTGAATGAATTACCTGATTTTGATTTTCGTCAAATGGTCCAGACACCCGATAAAATGCAAAAAGAATTTTTTTAACACATTTTACATCAGATTAAAACCTCAGAAACCCCTTTCTACTGCTTCCTCAGTGGAGGGGCTGGTGTTGGCAAATCGCATTTAACAAAAGCTTTGTATCAGGCAGTGCTTAAGTATTATAACACTAGAGCTGGTGATGATTTTCATCAGATCATAGTTATACTATTAGCTCCAACTGGTAAAGCTTAAGGGTGACACTCTTCATAGCACTCTGGCCATTCCTGCCAATCAATCACTAAGAAATTACAAACAGCTTGATTCAAGTAGACTAAACACTTTGAGAAGTCAATTGATTTTTGTTGATGAAATCTCAGTGGTAGGAAATGGTATGTTTGCAATACAGCTAAACAATAGGCTTAAAGATATAAAAGGCTGTAGAGAGGATTTTGGAGGTGTGAGCATAATTGCTATTGGTGACTTATTCCAATTAGAATCTGTTATGGATGCTTATATTTTCAAAGACCTCAAAAATGTAGATTTACGCTGTTCTTTCTCCCAGTTTATGGCATAAACACTTTAAAATGTTTGAACTTAATGAAATCATGGGTCAAAGAGACAGCAAATTGTTTGTAGAATTACTTAATAGGTTGCGTAAAGGTAAACACACAGTAGCTGACATTGCAAAACTTAAAGAGAGCTATACAAGAAGACATCAACAACCCAATAGATGCAGCTCACCTATTTATACAGAATGCTAAAGTAGATGAATTTAAACAAAGGGCCCATAATGCAGCCACAGGAAACAAATTCACAATAAATGCTCAAGATAGTGTTATTGGAGCTATCTCTCCAGAGCTAAGAAACAAAATACTAAGACAAATACCCAATGATCCAAGAAAAACAAAACAGTTAGCCTCAACCCTTTGTCTTGCTGAGGGTGAAAGAACACACCTTGTCATGAATGTACGAACTGAAGATGGCATGACAAATGGTGCTGGAAATGTTGTTAAACTAGTTCAGTTACATCAACAAACCAAACCATCTGGTACTGTATGGGTACAATTTGACCACTCAGATGTAGGTCAGAAAACAAGGAATGAAAAAAAACATTTGTATGTACAATAAATTGAACACACATGGACCCCAGTAAACCCTGTGACTACACAGTTTGCGGTAGGTAGAAACAGAACAGCACAAGTTGTTAGAAAACAATTTCCACTGGGTCCCGCAGCAGCAAAAACAATTCTCAGGTCACAAGGTGATACTGACAGTAGAATTATTGTGGATTTTAGTACCAGAAATACTATTCCACACATACATTATATGGGACTCAGTAGAGTGACTGCTATAGAAGGCCTATATATTTCTGATTTGTGTGAAAGCAAGATTGCTGTTAATCCAGATGGAGAGATTAAGAACAACTGCAAAACTTAAGCTTTGCATCTCCCTCTCCATGACATAACATTTTCCCTTCTTAAACTGTGTTATATTAATGTAAGGTCTCTTCACAAACACATAGAAGATATACGTAAAGACTTAATTTATCTAAGTGCTGATATCAATATTTTCACAGAAACAAGATTTAATTCTCAAGATAATAATGACATGTATGACATTGCTGGTTATGTTCTCTTCCGTAATGATAACCTTAATTCCAGCAATGGATCAAGGTCTTATGGTGGTACAGCTGTGTACAGTAAAATCCCATACTTACCTGGATACCCCTTGAAATAGGAAGTCGTCCTGTATTTTCAGCGAAAAAGATTGTCAAGTGATCAAAACAACACCGGCCAGATTATAGTCACGTGCTCGGCAACGACTTGTGGAAAGCAATCATCTTTCATTCTTACCATCAAAACAGTCACGCTTCCATAGAAGAATAACAAAACGAAACGATTACAACGGAAAGACCCAAATTGGCGTAGAAAGAAATAATGCTGCAAATTACCATTTTTTTTTAAGTCATGTGTACATGTTTCCGTGGGAATTTCTGTGTCAACAGCTTGCTGTCACTCACAAACTCTTCGTGATTCTCACTGGTCCTCGTTATGTTCAGTGCATGGACGATTCGAAGACGCTTCAAATTTGGTTTTTAAGTTGATCATAGCACTAATCTGACACATTTGAAGTCCATTTCAATATAGTAAATGTCGAAACAGGCGTGTAAAGACAATAAATATCGCAACGATCAGTGCAATCATAATAGCGCCACGACTTTGGACTTACTTCTTCGGAAGGATAGATCTCGAGTTCGAAGCCGACTAATTACGACTAATTACAAAGAGTCCACGCTAATTTGCATATCGCAGAGCGCCCACAAGAATTCGTTTCTACGCTATCGTGTATCCACGAGTTAAAAAGTAGTAGCAGAAATTTTTCAATTTTTTTCAATGACTGTTACGAAAATATTTACTGCTCCAAGTATTTCCAGTATTGCCGTATAAACAAATAAACAGCCTAAGCCACCAAGAGGTAATTTATTTGTTGAAGACGATTACCAAACGTTCAAAAACACGCCAAAAAGCTTCCAGGGAGGGAAGGAAAGGCATATTGCTTGATAAAAGGAAAAGTTAATACCCCAGATCCCTCCTGTGAATCTGTATTTGTTCAAATAATTCCCACACAAAAATTACTATTCAGACTGTTGATTCCAGGCCTAATATCACCCCTGTAGTACAGTTGACTCACAGTGAGCGACAGGTTTGCTTCCGCTCAAAAACCCCTTCCAAACACTTTGTCAATAAAACCCACACAAGTACGCATTGCGGACCTATTTTTTTTGTTGCAAGAATTGATTACAGTTAACATAAAAGGCTAAACTTCTCTGATACTTTCACTTTGTGATCACTTATGAAAAGGCAACCACAAGAAGTTTTAGTTTTAATTTTGCCATTAGTTTTAGAGTCTAGATTTATTCATTTGGACCATGCCAAAAAATGCTCTATTCAAAATGGAGTTTTGCACTGAGACATATTGTCAGTATTGTCTGGAGCCTCCTGGACAAATTCAGGTTGTTGAAATTTTTGCCAGTCAGTCCTTGACATATTCTTGAATCCAGTTAAGTCACTCCTTACAAACTCTCGACGGACAACATTGAATCATTCTGTGCTAAAGCCAAGCCTTGCTTTGACTCAAAGTATCTAGTGCCTGTTAAACTTAACCTTTCTATTTGCTAAAAAAATATTTAGCTGAATCTCAATTCCACTTATCCCCATAAATATCCAGGAAATGTGGGATATTCAATTTCTTTCACTTAGAGAGATTATGTATTAAAATGTCCTCAGATTTGCATGTTATTCTGGATAAGTTTTCCTTCCTTACCAAGGGTATTTATCAAAATAAAGACAGCCAGCATGTTTGTATATCACACAGTATCAGACTAATCCCCATAATCTCAATAGGAAAAATAAACCCAGCCGTGTTCTATACATGTTATTCTGGATAAGTTTTCCTTCCTTACCAAGGGTATTTATCAAAATAAAGACAGCCAGCATGTTTGTATATCACACAGTATCAGACTAATCCCCATAATCTCAATAGGAAAAATAAACCCAGCCGTGTTCTATACAAAAAACTTCAGCCATGCTGCACATATTCACGTACATGCATTTGTTGGTGGAACATATTTTTACCCTGTATAAGCTAATGAACGAAATACAAAGAGATATTCATGTATAGTTAATGTTCCTTAAATTTAGTTCAAATACTCTACATGTACCTTTGATAAATAACGCGTTCTTAATCTTGTTTTTTTTAAGACACCAAGAGACATAATCTCAATAGGAAAAATAAACCCAGCCGTGTTCTATACAAAAAACTTCAGCCATGCTGCACATATTCACGAACATGCATTTGTTGGTGGAACATATTTTTACCCTGTATAAGCTAATGAACGAAATACAAAGAGATATTCATGTATAGTTAATGTTCCTTAAATTTAGTTCAAATACTCTACATGTACCTTTGATAAATAACGCGTTCTTAATCTTGTTTTTTTTAAGACACCAAGAGACTTGATCCTATGTGAAGCCATGTACTTATTAACGACTCCTTACAAGAAATTTTCAAAACAAAAGGACAGTTGCCAGAACTTAAAAATAGAGTTTGTATGAGACTCAATATCTCAAGAACAAGTGGTTTCAAGGCACTGTTGTGATACTTATAAATATCATGAACAGCTACAGGGAGATGAGTTAATGCAGAAATCTGAAAAAATCTGTACTTTGACCAACCTGATTTCATAAGACTATAAACAGGAAGTGAAGACATTAACATAAGGAAGTCTAAAGTAGCAGTAATCCTTTTTTATTTATTTAATATCTTCAAGACCTAAAGGAGCTTTAAATTCCCCAAATTAAGCTAATATCAGACTTAAATCTGTTAACCTGATATCACTTTTTGGACAATTATTTTAAAGCAGTCAACTGAATGTTAAATGAATGGTAAAGTGTAGGAATCTGGTCTGTTTAACCCCTAAATCCTACAGTATGAATTTTTACTCTCTTGTCTCACTATTTTATGTTTCCTTTCCAAAATTAATTGAATGGAAGCAAAGATGTATCTATATAATTATGTAAGTGGTAATATCTCCTGCCCTCTCATCCAAAGGCCTTGAGACTTGAACCTTCAAAAAGCTCTATTGTATTTTTTTCCCTTCTTAAGAAACTTTGGCAAATATAACAATTTACAATTTATCCTAATCTTGGATCAAACCTTTTCATTTATAACAATGGCTCATTTCCATGCTACTCAAATAAATTTTAATTTGAATTATTTTGCAAGCCACAAGATGAGAGAGAGAGATAGAAATTTTGACTGACTAATGTTATATGATTCCATGCCAACATAGGCCAAAACAAATTCTCAAAATTGTTTCACAATTGTCTTTCAACCTGCCCATCAAATATTGGCAAGAAAAGAAATCAACATCAAATTTCTGTCTAAAAAAACAGGCAAAGCCTATGCTCTGATTACACTTACCACACCCAGAGACAAGCAAAGAAGCAAGTTTTCTACCATTCTAATATGCAAATTTGCCAGGTGACTTGGAAATTAGTCAAAACAAAATGATGATTATACAGATAATAAACACAAATGTTTCATTCACGTGCAAATCATGATTCATTTACATCTAAAACTAATGATAAAATATGTGATATGTTTATCTAAACTGATCTATTAGAATATTCCATAACTAGCTATTATCAACAAGATGGCAATCCTGGATACTAGCATTCTGTCATGAAATGTGTAGACTTGATGTCTGCAAATACTCAAATAATGCATAATGCAGTACACCATGATTGAACATTCTTGATTACATGCTCACTAGAAAAGGTGCTAGCAGAAGCAAGTGAATTAAGTTACAAAAATTACATCTTAAAATTTATGAAAAGAAGTGAACATGACATTGAGATGTAAATGGCTTGAGGTAACAAATGTTAGTGCTGAAGCTAACGAAATTATGTGATTTAAAATTGTTTTCAATCACAACATGTTGTCAAGCACACTGCTGACAATTCCTTGAGATATTACAATTCTCAGGAAAATTGATAAATACTGTCATAGACAACAAATTAAATCGTTAAATTCATAATGAGAGAAAGATTCCAAAGGTTTGTTTGAGTTTCTGCTCGCTAAGATGAATATGTTGAGGCAAGAAAACAAGTGCAAGATAATTAAATAATGTGAACGGAAAAACTATTCTCAAGATCTTCAGGATGGTCAGTCAAATCTGTACGCAATCCTTTACCCCAATTTTTGTCCGCAGATTTGGATTGATCCCTTTTCATCCAAAAATTTATACGTTGATTATTGACTGAAAGTAGGAATTTCCATATTTTCTGCATAAGTCAAGCGGTAAGAGGTATAAACACACTATTGTGTGGTTAAATACGACCTGGAGTCTTGTCATTTTAGGAAACCACATGATTTCCCACTTGTGCAAAACACTAACTGACGATATAATGAAAAAATTATCGCACGCTCGGGGTAAAATGCTCCTCAAAACTCCCTCCCTCTTTCAATCGATTTAATTTGTTCGTGAATGTGTTTATCAAGAAATAATTAAAACAACCGCGCTAAACTTACAAGAAATCGATCAGTCGATACCGACTGATTTACATGCAAGACTTTATAAGGATGAACTGGCTTGTTCCAGAACAACAAATCAGGCATGACAACTTAAACGAACCATGACATGAAGAAAAGGAAAGAGTCAGCAGATTACGAATTTTGCTTTTTAATCTTCAGAGGAAATGTAAGAATTAACCTACAAATGTTTGGAGTACAACAATGAGCTAAGGCTATAGGCAATCAAGACGTGATCGGATCGAAGTTTTTTCCAGATATTTTTCATGCCAGCACATACTTCTATAGTTGCCGTAAATTCTTGTTAACAAAGAGGTGATCAAAAGCTCAAGCAAGAGATCAGATGTACTATTTGAAACGTCCCTTGAAGGCCAAGGTATCAACTGTTTTCATCCCAAATGAATGTCAGAAATTGCAGGTGGCCCTTAAACATCGCAACTCTGCGAGCCCGGGGCGAACAAAATTGCACAACCACTCAATTAAAACTTCACCGACAAACACGAATATGTTTTACCACTAGCAACCAATAAAGAAAGTGAAACAGTTTATAAGTAAAATGGTAGAAGACTAAATATCTACGATTGATCTATAAGACCATTTCGACATTATGAAGTTATGTTGTTTTGAACTCATACCTTCCGAATGGACACTCGGTAGTTGCACGCATCTAAAACTCCCGTAGAGACATTCGCTGTCATTTTGCATGGAAAAGTAACGTTCTTTCCCCACTTTACGCAATGGTTCCCAACTTCCTCCCTTACAGAAGACAAAATCACGAAAACAAAGGAGAAATTAAAATAAAAGCCGCATAACAAATGCGTTCTTTCTCACAGAACTCAGCAGCTAATACCTGGTTGAAAAGCTCGTAAAATTTCCACCTTCTAATAATCTCATTTTAGCGAATAGAACTCCGCTAACGAAAGGTACACTCGTCAGCTGGTTCAACTTAAAGTTCACGTCAAACTTAAACTTTTTCTTCTTCATGTTTGTTTGTTATCCAGGGCTTCTAAGATTATATTTCCCTCTCCTACCTGCCGACGACATTTTCTCAATAACAAAACAGTAACATCTGCCAAGATGGTACCCACAGTTCTCTCTGCACCGCAGCGGAAGTCAACACGTATTTGACATATGACTTCCGGTGAAATGTTTCTCCTTCCTTCGCGCTGCTACGACTTGAGCATTTAAATGAAACTTATACAATTATTCTTTTGATAAAATGAATTGGGAGAAATGAAAACAACTTTTTTCTAGAAAAAATTTCTCGGAGGCTTGAAACTTTGGTGGGTAGTCGTGGAATTCTTAGAAATTCCCGATTGTTCGGAAGTTTGAATGTTTGACCCGAAGCAAGGAAATGATAGTAACACTTGACACACAAGGTCTCCAGGTTTGAATAATCTGGTGGTTTCATTACGTAAGAATGTTTTTTTGGGAATTCTGACACGTCTAAACTTAAAATAGATGTATCGAAAGTTTTCGTTTCTTCCATATCTTGTGACCATTAAACAGCATTTCACTCTCGAGATCGAAACCCAATATCGCGTTATTCTTCAACTGCCACGTTGACCGACTAAGAATAAAGCCAGGGAACAATCGAAAGGAAAATTTTAAAAGTAATTGTAACATCGTCACATTTCCTTTAAGTGAAAAGGGTCTTGAAACTTTATTTAAAAAGAAAAGTACGTCAGACCATGTTATATTGGTAGATAATTTGACTGTGACGGTTAGGGTAAAGTACTTCAGTGTAAGTGACTCGATGAAGTTGCAAAGATCTTTGCTACTCGCGTGTGTAATTAGGTATCGACGTAAGATAATGACACGTCATCCGACATGCATGTTGCCTTTCCGCTTAAAAATAAAGTATGATTCAAACTAGATAATCATTTCCGGATGTTGGTCTGTTTGTACAATATAGTCTTCTCAGAATTGTTACTTTGCCTTCTTGAAAGGGTTTTCAAATTCAAAGCGCTGGTAGAGAACTAAAAGGGTGATAGAGGGTACTTTTCTCCACTTAATTACTCCAAAAGAAATGACTATGTAGATACTCAGGAAAATGTAAGTTCAGAACAATTTATCATCAGTGGATACCACAAAAATGAAAAAAAATAGGCGTCAGTTATTGACTTCGATATTTTATGTAAACATGGCTTAATCAGCAGGATTCTTTGACCAGAGAGCCGTTTATCCGCACCCGAGTGAAACTCACAACAACAGACAAAAAAGAGCTAAAAAACATCACGCAAATTTTTCTCATAATTCTAAAGGTCACCGCAATTTCACACTTGGTGTTAGCTTTATCGTGTTTTGATTGCCACAGCACTTCACAGCGATAGACCTCCGGCTGTACTTACCGCATAAAATTGGATCACAGCTTCTGGAAAGAGCATAAAAGAGGCCCACCTTAAGACTTTGCAGGCGGTTATTTTTTTTGCGTCATAAGTGGCATAAAATTAAAGCGGGTTAAAACTGGCCAGACTGACCGAATAACGTCCCTTCAAAATCTTTGTCACAACACTGTGCGATGCAGCTCCAACATGGACAATACCAAAGGGGTTACCGGGGCCCTCCTGGTATATTTTCCCCCCTATTTATATCTAGAAATAGCGACACGTTCTGAAAATAACGGGAGTAACTTTTTAAAGAAACTGTGGTGCTGCGTCGGTGGGAGAGCGTAACATTTGGTATATCAACTGAGTTGATAACGTAAATTGCCGGCCATAAAGATTTTCAAAGCTGACGTTTCGAGTGATAGCCCTTCGTCAGAGTAAATGAAAATAACGACCTGCCAGTGGTTTGTTTTCGTTCCCCGGTAGTTGAGGCAATTTTATCCATTGCATTCCCGATGCCCCTCTACGCGGGGTGGGGATTAAGTAGGTAATGAGTTTAACTGTCACTTGTTTGCGAACTCATTTTGCAGACTGGACTTGAATTTTTACTTAACAGGAAATCAGAAATTTACAAACGAGAACAAGATATTATTTTAATTCATTGTATAATTTAAAAAATTTAAGGAGAAAAAAATTAAAAGAGGAATTGACTTTGTTATATTTTCCTCGGGAGTCGGGCCTTTCATTGCCTTTCACTGGCAGTAAAAGTGGATACCCTGGTAACCTCGAGAGAGAGAGAGAGAGGGGGGGAGGGAAATTATCGATTGGTCTCAAAGGGTTAGGGAGTGTCTACAAATGATATGAAACAAATCTATTTACAAAAGTAAACTTCCTAAAGCTAGTAACTGATGCCAAACAAACAGGACAGCTTCTTGAGCCCTTGTGTTCAAATTAAAGGCCTAACAACAAAGAAAAAAAGAGCCTCGTTCAGTTCCTTTGAAACCAGGAATATCGCTGCTTCCTCTTAGAATACACGGAATTGGGCGGTTTCTTGACGCATGCGTCGATTACTTGATCGTCGAGACTTATTGAAAAGTGTGCAATTCCTGGCGGTTCGTTGGATGATTTTCTGCACCCTCGTAACAAAGCAAAATGTGAGGTATAAGAAGACTGCCAACACGCCTCCACTCAACATCACAGGGGATAGAATGACGAGTAAGGAGAATGACGCTACAGTGACGGTTCCCCCGAAAACTAGAAGTGCGCAGAACGATATGGAAAGAAACGAGCCTAATACAAAGGCTAAGAAAACCAGAAAAGGCAAAAAACCAAGAACGACCAAGATGACCAAAAATAGGCACATAAAAGGATGGTTCTCAAGAAAATGTTGAGCTTGCCTGATCACAGGCATTGCTTGACAGTCTGCTTTCAGACTGGATGCGTATTGAATCGTTTGTCGAACATTACTCTTCAGCCTTAAGCTTGGAAACACCTGTTCCATACGCTCGATCCAAACCATGGCGACAAAAAACTAGGGAAGAGAACACAACAACAACAAAATCATTATAAAGAAACCAACTCTCGGTAACAGGCTAGAAAAGTTCCTAGATAAAGGGGGTAAGTTTCCGAAGAAACTGTAGTGCTGCGTCGGTGGGAGAGTATAACAGGGTAATTTAGTATTATCAACCGAGTTGATAACGTATATTAGCCACTTAATTCGATCTCTTTAGTTTCTCTTTAATTCTATGGTTTGGATATTCGTCAGAACGTTAGCTTTTTGTCAATCGCTTTGAAGAAGGGCTAACGCTCGAAACGTCAGCTTTTAAACTCTTTACGGTTGCCAATTTACGTTATCAACTCAGTTGATAGTACTAAATTACTCTAGAAAAGTTCGTCAGCAAACGGCTGATATTTTTCTTACCCAACATACAAACTTTTAAGTTACTAATGTAGGTGAAACAACTTCCTTGAATTCATAAAACAGCTGTATATTTCCCTAAGCATTACTCGTCAAAACAGATTTCAAATAAAAAAGGATCCTATGCAGAATTGCGCTTACTTGCAATTCCAGTGGTGAGGTTCATATGTCGCTTATGAAAAGAAAGACTTTAAATATTCGTCTATGCAGGGGAAGTTGTTAAACCTACATCTTATTCTATAATCATACTAAAACTGCAGAATTTATTAGTTTCGGGTAGGTTTAAACTGAATTGCACCATTACGACAGAGCTAACCTGGGTAGAAGTCTTTTTGCGTTTCCCCGTAGCCAAGTGAAGTGCGGGCTCAGAAGTAGGTTCCGTGAAAATATAGGGCGAAAGGGAGCAAAGAAATTGCCTTTGCACCACTAGCGCTTTTCTCTCTTTAGCTCCTTCTTCTCCTTTATGCCTCCACGCTTCTACTGCTTGGCCTGAGGGGAACGAAAAGGACATCTATGCAAGCCAAGGAAGATATTTGATGAGCAAAGTCGCACGAGTCAACCTTGCTTTTACCCTTTGCCATGTGCGCTTATACTACGAAAAATTCTCTTTCCAGAAGGTCTGCATTTTCAGGACCATTCCATTTCCATGTTAGAATCTATCTTTCCTGTCAAATTTTAGAAGGTCTATTGAGTAAGCCCATTTTTTTCTTCTTAAACAAGTTAAAATTCACCAAGAGTCTTCTAGCTTACCTCACGAAGTTGAACTCGTAAATCCACTTGTTTCAATTACGTAACAGTCACTTAATAGGCACACTGACAGCGCCTGACGTCCCCGCGCGAGCGCGCTAAATTCAACAGTTAACTCGTTTCTACTCCAAAGTGGAGAAAGGTTTTTAAAGAGCATACGGGAAATTCTTTTGAGCAAGAGTGTACCAGCTGGAGCTTACGCCAAAAATTTAGTTGAAGCAGCACCATAGTAACCGTTTGGTCATCTTAAGGTACAAATGTAGCACACTGTACTTTGTTTTATTTAATTACGTCTGCCTTCCTCTTCAAGCTGATAACGTTGTTACATACAATCAGTTTACAAGCCTTCCAAAAGATGAATTATAAATTTTATTCATCGATTGCATTAACTCCAAGCTACCTGGCTGTTAAATTGTCAAACAGGTTAGGATTAGGGTTCTTTTTAACTTCTATTTTTCTAGGTTACGACAACATGTAGTATTTCTAGTGTTTTCATATATTCAATCATTAAAAAAAAAGGAAACCAAATCATGTAATCAAATCAATAAACATTGACTGTGCATAAAACATAATCTGAAAAACCTACAATCTACGTGACAAATATTTGTATGAATCAACCGGCGTCAGCTGCGTCGCTCTACCACCACAACCTAACGTTCAATTGCATTAAAACTGCACAGCACCGGTATTGCAGAGGTCATGGGTTGAAATCCCGTACAGGCCTGAATTTTTTTTTAGGCCCTATTTTCACTACTCCTCAAGTGGTGTTCATTACTGCGAAGATCGCTTTCATATTCACGGTATAAAACTGTTCAAATGAAATGAAATTACAAAGTTTCCTCTCCTCCATGGGAATTCTTAGAGAAGACTCCAAGTGATAAAGTGTCCGATGGCGACTGTTTTTTAATAAAAGATCAGTATACCACGATTTGTTCTTTAACGGATAAACCTAAAGTTGATACGGAGTTTTCTCCATATTATTCTCCCAGCTGATTCAAGCATCTTACAACGACCACTAAGAGCATGATATCTGAACTGGTGGAGTGAGTTTCTTTGCTTAACACCACTGTGTAAAAATTTGGATAATTTAATAGTTTTCTACATCTTGTAACCATTTAATCTATTGCCAGCTAACGACAGCAACATCTGCATTTCTTAGGAATTAATTTTTTCTACTTCTTTTAATCGAATTAAAGTTATTTTACTCAGTTTTGTTACAAGAAAATTTGTCCACTCTAAGCCTGTTCAAACACACAAAAAATATGTCACTAAACTTCTTGAAAGTCTTCGACGCAATGCTAAAGATTATAATATCCTTACGATGTTACTTTAGTAAGTAACTTCATGACTTCAAACCGCGACCGAAGGTATACTTTGTTTAAAACCAGGCAAATTAAATTTTACCAAAAAAAAAAAAAAAGAGAAAAAAAGCAACCTGAGGCAAAGGCGTTTTTGAGCCTCACATAGCGATCATACGTCTTCCCCAGCTATCTATCGCACACTTTGACTCCTCTGTTTAAACGTAATGCTAAAAAAAGCACAATAGGAAGAAGGGAACGAAACATTTAACTTCCACGTGTCAGTGAGACGTCCACAATTAGGGAAAGTCATAGGTATAGCAAACTTGCGCCGCTGTCTCAATCGATCATAAGCAAAAGTTAAAAGAGTCACGAATGACTCGCCCACGTTTTGTAGGGCTTCGGACAGTTCCACGTGGACTTTTGATCGTCCACTTATAAGTTGTTATGATTTACACTTTATCGAAAAACGCATTATTTCCGTTACTAAAAAACAGTTCCCTAAAAAACAGTTGCTCTTTACAAATAATCAGCTATGATTGGGTAATCTAGTTCAACCAGAATATCATACAGTTTCCCTACTGTGCTATGAGCCTTGACCTCCCAATTTCTTAAGACTTCATCAGCTGGATTTTCTATTCTTCTGTTGTCAAGGTATTGGATGGTGGTGTTGTCCAAACCAAGTTTCTCTGCTAAAGCTTTCCAATTGTCGTTCGCTGAAAATCCCAATGAAAAATGAACAAGGTTGGATTTTCGCCAATCTAAACATTAAACTATCGCTAACGCAACCATCCTTGGAACAGTCAATCATCAAGAACGAGAACGACAACAATTCAAAACAAACAAACAGACAAACAAATCAGGCAAATTGGCTCGTGGATAAATGATTCTTCATAGATCAGACAGCTTGCACACAGTAAGAAAGGGTGGCTCCACACAGACATAGATCTGGGAATTAAACTCATCATGACATTTGAACGTCTGGCATCTTTTTGGTCAATATTGAATGAGAAGTATGCATCGGAAACAATACACAATATAATTATTGTCTTAGCCACTGCCTGAGTTTTAAGATTGCACTGTAGCTGACCATAAGTTAACCTCCTTTAACGAAAATTGTGAAAAGGGATGCCACAATTTTGAATCTCTTTTTAGCATCCTGGAAGTTTTTACATTGACGTAACAAAAGTCTTACTCTTCTTTTCCCATCTCTTGGCGATCTGTTCTACTCAATTAATCATAACCATTACAGTTTCCTCAAATGTGATTGGTGCAGTAGCTGCTTTATTTTTCACTACTCATTCGTTCATGACGAAGACGTGACAAGACGAAAAAAACATCTTTCTCTAAAACATTTAATGTTACTCAAGCTTATTCTTAGTCTTTTCACGAAAGCGCCTACTATGTGGGAGTAAGCCGTACTGTTGGCGTTTCATACAGTTAAAAGTAATTCTAGCTTTTCTGAATTTTAATTGATAGGCAGATTGAGATGGAACATACCACACAAGTTTCTGGTCAGGTCTCTTCGATGGGAGTAGCGTATCTCTCTTACAAACGTATGGGGTGACAGCAGTGGACCTATCAAAGTAACAACAACACATTGTTTATTGTTATGAAAGGAACTGCAAGGCTTTTCCTAAGAGCAGAGATAAAATACTTGTTAGCTATCCACTGCCAAGCACGCTGTACGCACGTTTTACTACCCTACGCCTTACTTCGCACCATTGCACACATGCATATGTACAACACCCAACCTGCGCCTTAGTGTATAACAAGCCGACTGGTCTATCAGAACTCGAGCTAATCCTAACTCCTGTAGCATACAACGAATAGTACAACTTTATTACTCCGACTGGACAGGTTGATTATACTTTACAAGTGAGCCCCCTCACCTACCCTCCCCCAAAGTAAAGTATGTCAAGCACAGCATAATGACCAGCTCAGGAAATAAAATATGACCTCCCCTCCATGTTTTATGATAAACCAAAACCTATAGCTTTATACTCATGCAGGGCTAAATCAACATCATTACTGCAAAACTCACCAATGACTCCCTTATGAGCAGGCAAGACCTGCCTAAATGTCTTTATCACACTTGGTCTTTCACCATCTGTAATCAGGTTTGTGTATCTACGAATGGAGTAATTTTTGCTTTCTAGCATCATTTCTGGTAGGTACGTTTTGTTTTGCCCAGGCACTTTTTCAAGTTCCCTCCTCAACAGGTTTATTGCAAGCTGTCCCAGCTTATTTGTGATACGAGTTGCTTCATCGAGGGTTAAGTCTCCAAAACATTTAACTTCTCTCGGACCTGAAAACAATATTAAATGCAGTTAAATGCAATTTCACAGAGTTAACAACAAAGAGCCTCAGCATTCTCTAGTAGTCAGCGGTTTAGTATATGCACGTGTCGGAATTCCATGTGCTTTTCATTCGAGGCATTCTTGCGTGTGCTTTGGGCGTGAACTTTCAGTGCTGTTCGGAGTGGCAGCTCATCGTCCACGCAGTTTTCCCCACCCCTTCCCTCCCTCTTTCCTCTGTTTATTCAGTCTGATGGGTGCCTGTTTCCCTTTCCTGCGTGGGGGCTCATGGCTGGGTTATCAGGATTTTCCAACCATGGGAGCACACTCCATCTAGGAGCTGGCTGCCAATAGTCAAGCTCCTCACATTTTTTTCACATTTGATCTTGTTATGTATTTTTAGTTTGTCGAGCGTTTTTTTTAACATGAGCCTCTGGCAAACACTTCCCACATCTTCAACATTAAATATTAAACTATTCTATTCTATTCCCAGATGTCTTGGGCACCCAACCTCCACTTGGTGATTCAGTTGTTAAATTGATATTGGTATGTACATGAGCCAAAAATCATAACCTACATGTACAATGCAGGTGTACTTTTTGGTTAGCAATGGCAAAGTATAAGTATTCTCTTATTACATATACAGTAGCCATCTTTAATACAAAAAGCAAACACAGGTTGGGGTGTGAAATAAATTCAGACCAAACTGATGGCTGACAGGCAGAATGAAAGAAGGAGGATGGGTAAAGTGAGCATGTGCTCAACTTTTTGTGCTTATCTCCTTAACCCTTTAACTCCCAGATCGAATTTGTCATTCTCCTCACTGTCAACCACATAATTCTTATGATGTTAGTTCAGAGAATTTAGTATTGGATCAACTAATTATCCCCGAATTGATATTTTTCTTTATTCTCATTACTTATCTGGTTGATATAGTTTTGATATTGTAAGGAGAAATTCTGTGTTGGTCATTCATGGGAGTGAAAGGGTTAATTAGTGTCTTCTTCTACCTTAATCTAATATGGTATCTGAGCAAACTATTCCTAATAGCATCCCTAATTTGATTCAATGTGAGCTATGCAAATCCTTGTCCAAAACTATTAGAACACGTTATCCTCAAGGTGATAATGGGTGACAATCAAGTAACCAGCCCCTTTTCTGGATTACAGCCCCAGCCCCTTTTCTGGATTAGCATGAAAAGAAATGATGAGCAATGATGAAAGAAAAAAGGAGTGGAACTTGGCATGGTAGCCTTGCCTTTTGCTTTAGTTTTTGTTGTTTCACTTCAATTACATCCAAAAGAGGAGCTTATTAAATGGCTTACAACATGAAAATTAGTCAGAAGGAAGAAACACTTACTAGGGATGAGATGCACCATTTACATACATACACCTAGCTATGGGTAGACAACAAGATTGAGGCATGTAGTATAAATAGATTTGGTACTTTGATAGACAGTCATGTGAATTGTGATTTGAACCTTTAACTACTACACAGAGATTGAGGCAGTGCAAGCAACTTGCCTCCTGAGGGACCTGATATTAGGTTGACCAATCCAAGCATTCATTCAGATGCCAGTATTGGCAAAGTTGCATACTGCACAGAGAAGTTACATGTTAATAACTTCTGGGAATTGAAGGGTTAAGGCAATTAATAGTATATTTTATTTCACTCACTTAAACTCTCAAATTTCTTTGTCATATCATTAACAGGGCTATCAACATCGTCCTGGCCAAGGTTAAGAGGTTTCAGAAGGTAGCGTACACAATCTTTGCGCTGAGAACGATTTACAGCATCAAGGAGAGTCTGAACAGTAGCCCTACTTCCATCATGAGAAATCCAGCCCTTGATAACATTGAGTGTATGGCTTCCAGGTTCTTTTTCCACAAAAGATTCTCCCTCAGCTGGCAAGCCAAGTTCTTTGAAAAGTCTGAAATAAAAGGACAATGGGCCGAGGTGAAGAGGTGCTATATCACAGGAAACAAGCCAAATTGCTCATACCACAGAAATCTTTTGCAGTTTCTGTAGGTTAAGCACATAAGACTAATGCTACTCCCCTTGATTTTACCAAGGTTGATTACAGGCTACCTTAGGCATTTTGTCATATTCTCTAATAGCTCCTTGATTCCAGTTTAAACTCCTGAATTGAGAAGTTTCATTGAAGATCAAACTACAAAATTCAAAATTTTTGTACTAATAACACTACAGTTTAAAATTTGTTCACATGTAATTCTGAAAAATAAGCCAACCTTTTCCATCCATTCCCAAAAATTTCTTTGTCCATTTCCTTACAGAATTTTTCAAACACCTCAGCTTGCTCATCTAAAATATCTTGGACTTCCGATTTTAATGAGTAAAGAGAGGTTTCTTGTATGGAACCAGTATGTGTGGATGATTTGTCATCATTATGAGATCCTGTGCACATTAAGAAAAAATTAGTATATAATTCACTGATTGATTGCTCAAGAGATAAATGCAAGAAGCACCTTGACAATTGCTTAATGTTACACTGTGCATATAAAAGAATAGTTATAAAATAATGCAAAAGAGTGTTGTAAGAAGAGAGGCACAGTTCTTAAAAATATCCACAAATAGGTGAATTTTGAAGTTAGGGGCCATTTAAACTTGTGATCTGTGTTCTACTTTTCTGAAATGCCTTGGATCTGGGCATCTAATAAATAAAGTGAATAAAATGAATCACATCCTTTCAATTACAATTACTGATAATTAATGTGACCCTTCAAACCAAATAAAATAATTCAAATGTTTTCTATGAGGTTCACAACACGACCATTCCAAACTGACAAGTAACATCTGTTATGAATCATCAAGAACATCATGTGGTTCACATGTTATCAAAGATGCTGAAAATAGTGTTACATATACAGAACCTTCTCTTCCAGATTCCTGTATTTTTTTAGCCAATGGTAAATCAACCTTCTCTACTGCTTTCACAAAATTTCTAAATGCTTCAGGACCCTTTTTTGGAAGTATTTCAGTCAGCAGTTGATCCATTTTGGTGCAGTTTGACTTTTGATCACTTTGCAGTTCTTGTTTGTCATACTCATCAAGCACTTTGGTTAGATAAGGTAGCAACTTTTTTATATCCATGGAAGAAAATTGATCTGAACTTGTGCGAAGCACTCTCTTGTGTTCTTCTGTCATACCAACCTCATCTGAACAAAACAAAAATTTTTCATGCAATCTCTGCCAAGGTAGCTATACTAAATATTAGCGGATAGAAAGGAGATAATATCTTCATATATGAATCCTACTTTTCCTGTTTTTTCCTCACACACATGTGAATGCAATTACTGATAGAAGCCTTCCTCAATTACATTCATTGTGTTACAGAAAATCGTATATATGCATCAGTAAAAAAAGCCTGTGTTGTATGGGGCTATTGACTCCTATGCAACACTCATAGACCTACAGTTACAGAAAGTTGTTTTGTGAATTATACAACTGGGTCTTACCAAATTTTTGACCATGCCAAGCACTTATATACCTCTGTTTAAATAACAGAAGTACTTATTTGGGTATTTAATAAATACATGTACTGTTAGTTAACATATATTTACTTCAGTAAATGGTTTGAACCCAGGGGTAACATGTAATAGTGTAGTCTGGTCAATTGGGAGATTATAGTCCTTAGCATCACAAACAATCTGAACACAAAGACCAAACTTTACCAATGGATCAAAACTGACCACTCACAACTGACTCACAACACTTGAGTCTCACATCCAATAACATCATGGCTACACTGACCAATCAGTTTACACGAATTGAACTTAATACATTTAACTGACATCATCTATTCACTTGACTCTTATAACAACTTCCACTCAGATTGTCAAAACATCAGTCACTACTACCCACAACAGTCCTTCTCAGGACAACAATCACCTGGGCAATCAGAATACACTATCACATACATGAACTTGTAACATTTGGTTATCTGCTGCTGTAAAACAGGCACATCTTTTTTCTTGCCAACATGCAGGCATGCCTTCTTTCCTACATAGTTTATCATTTTCTTTTGCACACTTAGAAGAACGAAAAACAACTAACACCAATATGGAAGAATGTGCATGGGTCAGCAAAAGGAAGTGGGTACAGAGAAAGACAAACATTGGGTCTGTTGTACAGTTCCTTGGATTTTATTGTGTGAACCAGTAGGGTAAGTTAGCAAGAATTTATCCACATCAAAGAAGTTTTCAGTATCAGTCTATGACCTTTAAATCTAAAGATCTGATTACCAATTCCCCTCTCTAACTGCCACATTTTTTTTCTGAGTAGAAAAAGTTGGTATTACATCCTCTTGAAGGTAATCTTTTCGATTTCCCTCACCTATTGGCAGAATAATGTTTTGAAATCACGAAGAGAACTTACGTGTTGATCAGTTTTGGGAGTTGGTATGGACATAGGGAAATACAGATGAGGAGAAAACGTGAACGATGTTGTTATCCATACTTCTTACTTGCAAACCATACTTTTGTCGGTGAACAAACAAAAACAACCTCACCTTTCAAAAGACTTGACTCGTCCATCCCTGAAGCCCTTATGAGAGGCTTCGCAAGGAATTTCTGGCTACCATTGCACAGAGCTGTGATAAAGTTCTGAAAAGCATCTTCTCCCTTTCTGGGAAGCATGTCGAGTAATTCTTCAGCCTGTTCTGATCGTGTTTTCTTTGCTTTCACCAGCTCCCGATCATCATCACCAAGAACGTCAAGTCTGTTTAACAGCTTCAGAGGTTCTAGGTCCCTTACAAGCACTTCTCGATGCTTTCGAAGGATGTTTCTGTGCTCCTCTTCCATTTTAGAAGGCAAAAGCGGAAGCACAGAGAGTCTTCTTTAGTTGTCAATTACGAAATGACTTCTTTCCGAAACCAAATATTTCCTACATATATGACATGTAAATCACAGAAGAAGAAGCTTATTCACAATACCAAAACACTTCGAGCTCCGTCATCTCTTTGACCCTGAGTTTGCCAGATAATCAACGAAAGACGACGACATTGGGGCGGTTAGGCAATGAGGGAATTTATATGAGCCTGCGAATAACAGACAAACTCAACGTTAAATAACTATCATATAGTGTACCAAAATATATGTTAAATCCAACATGGCGGACATGTGGCATAGGTAGAACCCCACAATAAGTCTAATTTATTTCTTCTCTTTGAGGTGACGCATGAAATATGCAGTGTGCTTTGTTCCTGCAAACCATGATTACTGATTCTGGGAAGGATAACGACTTCCTTCCAGTTCAGATGAAAAGGAGGAAGCCATGGAAAAAAGTGCTATATGAAGACCAAGGTGTTCCGGATAATTATGTAGACAAGTCGTTTCTTGACGAAATGAGGAAAAATCGTGAGTACAGCACTTTATGGATGAGGATTTATATCAAATTGCAATCTCTAGTGTACCGATTTTGCGATGCTCTGTATTGGTGTGCTGCATGTGCACCATTCGGTTGTAAAGAGATTCCACACTGAGCAGCCGTCAAATATTGAAGTTTATGAGAATGTTGGCAACTGATATGTTATTTGGTTCCTTCTCAAGAATTTGAATATATTTTTGGAATGATTTGAAGCCTATGCATGCTTAATTTGAAAACAAATTATCGGGCAACCTATAAGATATCTGCAAGTACGAGTTTAAATGGGATTTAAGAATGTGCGGTGTAGCTAGTTGATCACGTTGTGGTTCAATTTATCATGGTTTCAATTATTTTTTTTGAAATGTAAATGTCATATCAGATTTTACTAAGCCTGAAGACGACAGAAAAAGAGTAGCTTAGGATATGTTGACCCACAACAGATATAGATTTGACAGACATATGAAAAGCAAATGAAAGTTAAGGGTAAATTTCTGATAAACTTTTAGTAAATACAAGAACCTACCAGTTCTGGTCCGTGGTTTCAGAGTCTGGAGCAGTGTCTCAACAGTTAAGCAGGTTAGAGAAGTAAAAGTTACATTTTTTTTAAGAGCTGATGTACTGATGTCTGGCTGTTTGTGTCTTGACAGCTAAGCCATTCCAAGTAAGATCATCATGCTAGCAGTGGTTCTGATCCTATTCCATGCACCAATTTAAGAAAAAAGTCACGCACAACTTGTAATATGAACGGAATTTCACACATCACCAATTAAAGATGGAGAACTTCAAATCTCACCCTACCTTGCTTTTCTGTAAATTCACACATCACGTATTAATTTTGGGCTTAATTGTAAGTTTTAAAAATAGAAACCCTTTGCCACCTTCAGAGAGGGTTTTGATGGTTATCTTATTATGCTTCCTAAATCCACAAGAAATCATATGCCAGGGGGGAAAAAACCCAAAAAACAGGAAAACCTTTAACAGTTGTCAATAGTAATACTGTATCCTTCAAAACTTATGCACTAAAATTTTTGATTATCCTAAATCTTTCTTGAGTCAATAGTCACAAACTAAGATTTAATGAAATTTGTTTTCTCCGAATTCTTTAGAATAATGGTACTACCATATACATATTATTTATTTTTCTATTTTCAGTGTTTGTGTATTTGTAGCAGCTTTTGTGTACATGGACTTTGGTTACTTGTCACCCTCTTTGCTGTTTGTGGCTTCCTCTCTGTTAACGCTGGCTGGATATATTCTTTTTGATCTTTTGGATGGAGGAGCATTAAGATCTGAATCAAACAGAACTAGTAAGATTTTTTTAAAAGCATACTGGAAATAAACATGATTTAGTGCTTCCATCAGCTTTTCTTTTCAGTTTGGGAGAGTGGTTATAAAGCTGAACAATGAATCAACAGGTTCAGTTAACCCTCTCTTACCCATTCAGACCATAGATAAGTATAAAGAGGGTAAGTTTCCAAGGAAACTTTAGTGCTACGTCAGTTAAGATATTACAAGATAATTTGATTTTATTAATTGAGGTGATAATGTTAATTGACCACCGTAAAGAGGTTTAGAAACTAATTAGGGTGGCCAATTTTTTTTATCAACTTAGTTGATAAAACCAAATGATGAGAAGGTATAGACCAACTTAGGGGGGGGGGGGGAGAGGGGGAAATGACTAGAGGTTGTTTATAATGGTCTGGCCTCATCCATATGCATGCTCTCCATCAGTTCATGCCATAGAAACAGTAGGTGGTAATCAGCCAATTTTCTATGAATAATAAGAATTCAGTCAGGTCCCCCAGTTCTGCACATGATATCTTGTAGTTCAAGATAGTGCTAGAAGAAAGAGAAACTGATTTGTGAACCATCTGTTATTAGGAGGATAGTGTGTGAGTATTGGTAGTACTCAAAAAAATGTTGCTCATGTTTGCAGGAATGGATGACATTAGAATTTGTGTTGTGGTGCTTGGCTCTGTGTATGTACTTTCCCCAGTTTTGAAAACCTTAACTGATACTATTAGCACAGACACCATTTATGCCATGACGGTAAGGACTGGCCTAAGTAGGTTACATTGTACAATGAATTTGTATGAAAGAAACAATGTGAAAAGTGGATTACTCTGTGGCATCCAATCTGTTTTTTATTTTTTAAGTTTTATAATGGCCACCAGTCAAATTATTCTGAATCACGACTAAAAAAATGTCCACAACTATTTTAAAATATACAAGTTGTCTTTCACTTTCATCCTTGGCTCAAATGTTCACAAGTCTTCCTATATTTTACTAGTATTTTAGAATTTTTCAGTCATGTAGTTTGCCTACATCTTTCTTACACCTTCACAAGTAATGTATGTAGCATAGTACATCACACTTGTGAATGATAAGTAAAAAAAATAAATTTGCAATGAGTAATTGCATAAATTAGAGCCCAAGAGAGGAATTTAGTTGTCAGCAGTGGTAAAACTCAATTTACCCTGAAAATGAATACTCCTTAGGTGCTATTACCAAATGTGCTAGATATTGAGTCATATGGTGGGAGTGAGAAAATTTTTAGAGAGTTCTCACTCCCCAAATCTGATCTCAAATAATAGCTCTTTCAGCAGATGCTCTTGTTACATTTTTTTATGGAGAACGTTCACTCAGTTCCCTGCTTTGATGGTACTGTTTTTCTTATTCAGACCTTCATGCTTGGGATGAACCTTCTTCTGTATGACTATGGAACACATGCTGCAATGTAAGTGATAGAAACTATGTGACCATCGTCTAATTCATAACTTAGAACCATTAGTTAAGGGAATATTCTTTTCAGTTAGCTAATTTAAAAAAAATTGTTGGATGTAATTGATTCTTTAACTTCCGTACAAGTGCTAGGATGGCAGCTCTTGAGCTATGGGCATTGAATCTTTTTCCAGCTAATACATGAAAGTTGTTTCATTATTTTTTGACAGAGTCTCAAGGTCTGCCTCCCTAAATGCCTCCATCTTTGCTTCAGTGTGTCTAGCATCACGTCTCCCCTCCTCCTGGCATGTCTTTGGGACTGTCACTTTTGCTATGCAATTGTTTGCTTTGTTTCCATCACTGAGAAGACAGCTTAAGGTACACATATTTTTTGTCTTGTGAAATTATAGAGCATTGTTCAAATAAGTGTTGAAATTAATGCGAGACTCTGCACTCTGTTTTTACCTCTCTGTGATTGGTTTAGAAAACTTGTGGAACCATCTCAACCAATCAGGGGCAAAGCTTTAACCAATCACAACTTCATTACTCACATTTTTTCATGCACAGTTTGGGCCTTTTACCATATTCTCTCTGAGTTCTCATTGGCTCCTTGTGTTGTTTACTGTGGTGCTGATTTGTTTTTGTCAGTAATTAATGTTGTTGGTTTTGCATATGAAAAGTGCCCTTTATTTGTTTATTGGGATGTTTTCCAGCAACTTTTGTCAGTTTTTTGGAAAGTTTGGCATGTTCTGAATATACTCAAGATTTGTTGTTTTCCTTTTATTAAAAATCAAAAAGGGTAACCAAAGGTTATTCAGTACTACAATGTAATTTGTTTGTAGATGTTCTACACCGTGTGAAGGGCAGTGTTATTTATAACCCTGTAGTGAAAAAGACACTGATAGTTAGAAAAAGGCTCCTTGAAAATGACTGATGAGGTCATAATTTTTTTTGTTTTAATTATTATTTAGTAACCATGTAAGCTTATATTTGCTTTCCTTTTGGCAGTGGTTTCAAGAAACACAGTCTTTTGGCAAATGTTGAATTAAGAAGGTTATAAAATTTGTGATTTCAAATTTGCTATTTTGACCTTTGAATTTTGTGGCACCAAAGAGAACTACCTAGGTATAAATCAAACAAAACCTTCAATTCTTGTCTTGGTTTGTTAGGATAAGAAAACACCATTGAGGCAAAATGAATGAGCATGGTTAGCATAAAAAAGATTGACACCCTTTACAAAAAAGAAAACTTGGAAAATTTAGGGAAGATATTCAAGTCATACAAGTTGTAATGCAGCTCCTTAAATTTTGAATGAGAGTTTGGTAATTGCTAAGTGACAGATTTTGTACCAACATTATTTGTACCAATTTTTTTCTTGCACCTTCTTTAGATGCAGCTACCATCAAGTCATGTTGTTTTGACCTGGACTCTGGTTCTAATTGCTGTAGCAATGCTATGGCCACTTTCCCAACTGTTTGCATTGTTGCTGGCTCTTGTTCACCTGGCTGTAACATTTTTATGTCCGTTCTGGTTAATTAAATTGCAGCGATTCAAAAAGTAAGCATGTTTGCAAATGAATCTAAGAATTAGAATAGATTTTAAGATTCAAATGGTTTTATAATCTTGTATCCTAAGTTAAGATGACTCAGAGTTGCACTGAAATTGGTAACTAACTGGCTGTTGTCAATAGACAGTGATTTTCAGTTGATACCATGAACTTAAAATGAGCAGATGGAAAGGTGGAAAGATTTTGAATATTGTTTTGATAGAGTTAAATCATTCTTGTGATCCTCATAATCTAATCTTTTTCCAGTCTTGTTGAGGACATCCTATGATTTAGGTTTGACTTAAGACTCTTCTCTTCAGATTTCTGCTCAAAATAACTAAGAAACCATTGTTGCTTAACTCTTTACACCCTGACATCATTATACATATTCTCTATACTGTTCTCCATACATTTCTTAAGGTGCTTTCATGGAGAATTTGTTTAACAATCAAGAGCTTCTTTAGTCACTGATCATTTCCTTTATTCTCATGACCTTGATGTATGATTCAGAGGTGATATTGTAGGGAGAAATTAGATGCTAGTCACTCTTAGGTGTTAAAGGGTTAATATGCTGTGGCCTAATGGCCAGTACACAAAACTCCAGATCAGAAGGTCTGAGGTCAAGCCTAAGCTGGATCAGTGGGTGGTGTTCTTGGGCAAGGCACTTCTCTCAGAGAGGGATTCTCTCTGTGGAGGACCATCGATAAGTACCAGCAAACTTTCAGGGATACTTGATAAAATGTTGGGGGGAGGCTTTTGCTGGATTGCTTAGTTTCCAAGCCCCACATCAATGTAGTTTTCTCAAACTTTGCAAACTCAAAGAGGTGTCTCATGCAGATTGTTGAAAAAATTTATGATTATAAAACAATTACTAAATTTGGTTTTCACATGATATCATGTATTATAAAACCTTGCATCTGTGTCATCTTCCTTAGCCTTCTGCTTTGGCAGATAACTCAGACCTTGGTTTTGATAATTCATGATATCATGCTCAACCTCACTCAATAGTTGCTACCTTGTTGGCATCAGTTGGTTGGCTAATTCCTTGTTGTTGTATTTTATCTCTGTAGTAATATACATGGTCCATGGGATGAAGCTGTTATTGAAGAATAGCTTGAGGCAAAGCAGAAATAACTATGGTCAAAGTTTTATAGGCTGTCTTATTCTCCTAACATGTGTATGTGGCAATTACACATTCCATCCCAACTGTCATTTCAGGAAGTTGCCTAGAAACACCCCTTCTGTAATTTAGCATAAGCCTACCTTCCATATGTTTGGATGTGAGAAACTTTTGTTTGCATGGAAGCAATTTTTCCTTGCACAATGGCACTTTGTGAGCAGGCAAAAAAGATGATATTTGTTGTTGCATGTTATTTCTCATGGAAAAATTACTAAAATGACAGGACTTTATGTGCTCAACCTATTTTTATTGACTTGAATCCAAACTATTAAATGAAGGCTGTTTAAAATAAAATTAAAGAAAATATTACTTACAGTGTACCATTAGATTTTCATTTCTATGTTATTCACATTACATCATTTACTGACAAAATTGATTTTTCATCAGTTTCCACTTAAGAATTTTTCCTGAAGGGAAGTTTTATTGTTCTAGCTGAAGCTTGACATAAGCTTAAAATGAAACTTGTCTCAGCTTTTAAAAAACTTTAAGTTATTAAATGTTCTTGAAAAGTGAGGAAATAACCTCAAGACTGTCATATACAGGGGCGTAGCCAGGATTTTTCAAAAGGGGGGGGGTCACACTGTGTCAAACAGAGGGTACTCACCTGATTTTCATGTCGACCTCTATGCCGTGTTTTACTTAATACGACAAAAAATGGTTTACTAAGGGCCTATTTACACGGTACGACCTTGTCGCATGCGACAAAGTCGTGCCGTGTAAATAGGCCTTAAGGGGGTCACAGGCACCCCAGGATCCTCCTTGGCTAGACCCTTGATATACGAGTTGCAAGAAGTACACAAAGATATTTTCCACCAAATAAGACATATCAGCTGAAATTTCCGTCTTGTTCATTAGGTCCCACCCTTTCACCCTTAGGAAAACTATGAGAATTCTTATTTTTTTTCCCCCATGCCATTGAACAAATTAATTTTTTAACGGAACTCTGTTAGATTTCGACCACTTTCTTTCTGTGGCTTGGTTAAATGAAAATTCTCAAACACTCAATCGATGATCATCTTGTAACTCATCCCACTTGAAAGCAAACCGAAAGGGATGCCCTGTTTTCTATCAAAGACAGGGAAATGGGACAAACAGCTTGCGTCACGCTGGCCTTCTTTCGCTAGTTGTTACGCTTTGCTGTTTGTGGTTTCCTTCCAAGAATTCATGACAGATCTACCGATGGTATTTTTCACTTTTTTTTCACTAAGCTTTGTATTCGAAACTGCAAACTTTGATTGTTCTTCAGTGTGCCCTCCAAGGTTATCATCTGATTGGTCAAAAACAGTCTCAATATAATTTATTTGAGAAAAATTTCGTTAAAATGTTACCAGCTTTTCAATACGAATTTTTACGGTTCCCTGTATTTAGACGTGACCTTGAATGTTTTCTTGTTTGTTAACCTCGTTCCTTTCAACTTAATCCATAGGTAATTTAAAACTGTACCTTCGCTGTTCTCTAAAACTTTAAATCGAGTCTACTCCCTCTGGCTGTTAATCAGCCTTCATCATCTTCATGCGCTCGAAAAGAACCGCCGCGGCACGAAACACTTTTTGCCTCTAATTTACACGATCCTTAATCCGCCCGTGGGCATAACCGCTGCATGTATAATGCCCTGCTCTGATCTCTGTTTTGAGGGCCACAGAGTCTTCAGTGTCTTAGGGCTCCTGTTAAGTGTTTTACCCTCTCTAAATAAAGCCTATTATTATTACTATTATCTCGCTCTGAGCCAATCAGAGTGCGCGTTATATCGGCCTCAAGCCTAGGCCATTTAATGAAATATTTTCCTTTTCAGATACTTTTGTCTGTATTCTGTAGTTATTCCCATAGTGTGTCTGCATCAGCCGACAATTAGTTCAATTTAACCTACTTAACAATGAATGATCTACCTCGGTTAATAAATGTATTTACATTTAACCTTCGAAACTGATTATGATTGTGGAAAGCCACCTGCCAGGTGATAAAATAGGCAAAGCTCAAATTCTACTCCACATTTCAAAGTCGTGAGACAAGCATTGTTCAAGACAACTCCTGTTAAAAGAACCGTTCAAATTCGAACAGATCTCCTCTTCCATTTTGAAAACTCAGTGGTGATTGTTAATATCGCATGAAGAATATAATTTTCTGATTCATTGAATTTCATCTATATTAAATTGCATAAGAAAACATGTATGTGAACACTTAACGCTAAGCCAAATGCTGTGCATATTAATACTTCATTTTGGAAATGTCGATGCAGACCTCGACTACAAAAACGAAAAACTTAAAAAAAAGGAACGCTCTCTTACTCGTCTCTTTTTCTCGTGTTTTGATCGCAACGCAAGAGTTTAATCTTGGTGATTTGAAATGTTCAATGCATTTACATAAATCTACATTACAAAGCATTGTCGCTTAATTCAGAATTTAGATTAGATTGAACTGATGTTAACGCTCTGTCGTGTATTAAAAAAACAAAAAGAGAAAAACTAGTGAACTCTTATTGTTTACCCATTATACCAAGGTCTACGTAGAAGTATTTAACTTAATTTTCCATTTGCGAACGAGTATTGCTAGTTCTCTCTTGATATCCTTTTTTAAACAAGCGTAGACGAAAGGATTCACAACGGAGTTCAAGATAAGGAGAATAGTTATCACCTGTCCAGCTCTTTCGGAAACATTACAGGAAAAATTGATGCATAAAATTAAACCGTTTACCGCTAAGTAGCATCCCAAGAAGAAAAAGACTACAGCAACGATGAAAGGGGCTGAGTTCTTCTTGTTACGTCTGAGACACAGTGCGTTGTCTTCTCCGTCAGTAAATAATTGGTTGCAGCGCAGTTGAAGTTGTATTATCACTTCCTGCTGCTTTTGCTTGTGTGCTACCATAATGATGCGAATAGCTGCATAAAATAGTAGCACACAGGACAGTAGAAGAAACCCAGAGACGGTAATAAAAAATAGGATGTTCAGTGCTGTGTCGGATTTCGTCACGTACTGTGTCACCAAAGTTGACGACGAAATTGTGAAAGCAAGCAACCATGCTATCATAATTACCAGTCCAGGGTGTCGCTTTGTAAATGAAGTGTTGTATTTTAAAGGGTGAACGATGGCGATGTAGCGATCCCAAGTCAAGTTGCAAAGATTCGAGACCGATGAGTGCAGGGAAAACCAAAAAAATGCCGAGACCATTTTCAAGTTGCACTTTTCTGCGGTACAAAAAAATGCCGGTGGAAACACTGTGAATCCGAGCATTGCGTCGGCCACTGCAAGAGAAAGGACGAACCAATTGGCAGTGGAGTGAAGTCGACGATTTAAGGCTACCAGAACGATCACTGAACTGTTCCCTATAACTGCTGTGATTGAAAGGAACCAGCCGAAAAAAATAAGGGCATTTTCCATATCACTGATCTTCAAGAAGTAAAACACGTATGATGACCTGCTCGGCAATGTCAGACAATACCTTTTGTTTCTTAAAAACAATTGTCCGGAAACATAAGTTATAATGTGGGACTTCTTGGGCAATTTTAAGTTGCTACAAATACGTCATGCGGTTGTTCGCGTTGAAGTTGATGTTTCCACTACCCGTGTGGCAATGAACTTTACATCCAATGCATCCTGAGTAAATCTCTTACGAGTAAAATATTGAATTGTAGCTTAATCAAATTATTCAAATTGGTAACTCCAGTCAAAACATATTCGCTGTTGAAGGGGGGTTTTGTATAATTCATGACTGCTGTCATGAATTATACGTAATAATTATCATGGTAAAAATGATAGCTTTAGCTAATCAACCAGTTTCTCAAGTAGAAGAAGCTGTTGTTGAGGACTTCAAATGCGAAACGCTGTTACCGTAGTCGTCAATCATTCGCAAACCTATAGTTATGCTACACGGTATGTTTAAATACAACAAACACAGGTCGGAGAAACTTTTTTTTCTATGTACATTGCATAGGAAGTTTGCCGTTTTGTGAGAGACAATGGATTAACTAACTAGATAGCAAACTTTCTGTCTGAGTACAATAACGCCTTGAAATGTTGAAAAAATTTCGACTTCTACGAACCCCTATATGAAGGTGGCATTGGAATTTTCGGTTTTGCGGTTTTGGCTATTTTTTAGATCGGTTTTTGTGCCAAAAAAACTTCGGTTTTTCGGTTTTAATGTTCATTGCTGTTTGTGGATTTTCCGCTATTTATCATTTGGTTTTCGGTTTTCGTGAAAAAATACCAGCGGGATTTCGGATTTGATATCCGATGCAGTTTTCTGTTTTTCCTATTTGACCTATTTGGGTTCCGGTTTCTCTTCGATCTGAGTGGCAATTTACGCGCCTCCACTGATCTCGAATAGCCGCTAAACGCAAATGTTATTGAGAGGACAAACCAATTGAAATATTGGGAGCGAGGGAACCTCGCCTCTGTTTCACCTTGGGAGAGGAGGGCACGGCTATTAGGCTAATCCCCAGGGGATTAACGAGTCTTGAATTATGCCCAAGACTTTGACCATCTGTAGGGGTTCACGCGTCTTGAATGACGAATATGGTACAGCAGTAAGACAGTGCAGCAAGAAACAACAATGGCTAAGCTCAGAACATTGCTAGAGTTTCTTTATCAACGCCACCTCGAAGTTGGTGACCAAGTTACAGGCCACACGTGACTGATTGATTCAACATTCCAATAGAATCTCCAAACTTTCAGGTCTTAAATCGCAAATGGAAATGTTAGATTAGGGGTTTTCGATGGAACCTTCCAGAGCTATAGCTTTTTTGCAACTGCAAAATTGCAATCCTATAGAGGACTTCTGTGCGAATTTCCTCCGGAGAGACCGCGCTCGAGGTCCTCGAGAGAGCTGCGGAAATAAAGCCTATCATTTAAGCAGATACTAGAAAATAAGAATGCCAAGTCCATGGAATTCACAAATGATGAAATTAGTGTAGTTTACTCTGTACGCTCCACTTGTTACCACTGTGTCGGATTGATCAGGGTTTGAATAACTAGGATCTGAAAATGTATCGGTTTTTACAGTTTTGCATGCGGTTTTGATCGAATTTTTTTTCGGTTTTTTGGTTTTGGATGATTTTTTCTACGGTTTTGCGGTTTTGCTTACGAAAGAGAGATTGCTGGGAAGTCCGTATGGTGAAAAACTGTGACCGAGGTCACAGTTTTTCACCATAAGGACCGACCCTTAGCCGGTAAATAACATATTTATTTTTTTGAAACGACGAAATTCTTTCCGAAAGAATCCGAATGATTTAAGGCTGATTTTTTTTCTACGGTTTTGCGGTTTCTAATAGTGTAAATCTGGTCTTTCCTTCACAAAAACTAAATTCGAATGGTATACTCCAACGGGACACAAAGGGATTTAATGCGGCCTTTTCTCAAAAAATTCCTTCAGTTTCTGTTGTGCAATTTACGGTACAAATGTTCAAATTGAACGGACTTGGAAAGACTCACCGAGAGCGTATATTTGTTGTAGAACTTAAATTAAAACTTCGCTCGCTCTTTCACTGCGAACAAATTGCTTGAGAAAATTCAGGTATTAAAGGAATGAAAGTTCCATCGTTCAGTTTAACTGTAAGCAAATACCTCACATTTTAACTTTCTAGGTACTTTTTGTGAACGATTAAAATTAATTGCAGACGGGTTTTAGGCCGCTTGTCAACCAACATAATGACACTATTGTTTATTCAAATTAATTCCGAAACCAATATTTTTCTGTCAACCAAAGTGATTTAAGTGAGAGAAAAGAGAGGATTCATAAGTTATTCATCGGCTTGAGGTAGTGACCGACGTGTTTGCTTAAAAATACTGCCCAGCCGGAAAAACGAGAAATGTTTATCAAAAATGGCAACGAAAGTTGGGATGTATTTGGCGACTCACGAAAGCGTTACCGTGGCCGGTGGGCAGATATAGGAAAATATTGACCGGGTAAAGAACCAATCAGATTGCAAGATTGGTTACCGTGCCCTCTCAAAAAAAAATAAATCGCGGTATTTTCGCCTTCCTTTTCAGGATTTTTATGGTTGAAATTTTGAAATTAAAATCTCGGAACTGAAATGGGGTTGCAAACGTAAGCTTAACCCAACTGCAGTTCATTAGACCATACTCAATCTACGAGGTGCAGGCTGGAAGGTTTCAATGAAAGGTTGGATTCTTTTTTTTTTAACCGATTATTTCAGTGTAATAAGAGTATAGGCGACATGTTTCAAATTATAGGTTTCAAATTATAGGTTATACTCATATCATGCGGCAAAGAGTATAGGCGACAAAAGATTGTGCTTGATTCATCGTCGGCAGGCCGGCTTTATCAAAAGCAGACATTTCCCAACCAATGAAATGGGAACCGGGGGTTTACTCAGGCTGTTTTTTTGGCAAAATTCAGGCTTGGCGACAAAAGATTTGTGACTGAAGCGATGCCGAACTTTAACCTGAGTATCTGAGCAGCAAGGGAAGTTATGGGTGCTGCTTAGCTTGATTCATCGTCGGCAGGCCGGCTTTATCAAAAGCAGACATTTCCCAACCAATGAAATGGGAACCGGGGGTTTACTCAGGCTGTTTTTTTGGCAAAATTCAGGCTCAGTCTCCATAAGATTTTCTCATATTTCAAATGGGAAATTTCTTATCCCTCTAACACGGTTTTCACATACTTTTCAACTACTTCTTGAAGACCAAGTGTGAAACCTTACCCTTACGCGTGCGCTTTAGAGCCTCGACGGCGATTTGTGACTGAAGCGATGCCGAACTTTAACCTGAGTATCTGAGCAGCAAGGGAGGTTATGGGTGCTGCTTAGCCGCGACAGCGAGTGCCTGATGCAAGCTTCGATAATAGGGTTCGGTCGGGGCACGCTTCATTTAAAGAATTTATTAAAAAAAATTTAGGTCATAGTCCTTATCATGCTTCAGGCCTCTAAAGGAGCAACTGACTGAGTTGAATATTATTTAGCCGTCATTGTGACCTCAAAGGCCTTGACATAAGCTTTAATCAAAGGCATGTTTCGTTAACGCAGTTTCAAATTATAGGTTATACTCATTCTTATCATGCGGCAACAAGTATGCGTCACTAAAGATGTACCTCGCAGGACTCAAAAACTCCCAATAGTAATACTGGTCAACATTAATAACAACGGAGACTCTCTTGCGTAACTGAATAACAAATCATGGTTTTACTGTGTATTTGTACCACTTCGAAAGTCGGCTGTTATTCACTTGCTCAGAAATACTCAGTTCAACAAAAATTTCAAATGCCGCCTTTCAAAAGCCCGGAAGATTTTTCATTCGACAGATTATTTTTATTAGCAGAACACCGAGCCTGATTTCCGACCACTTTGCGTAATTGGTTAAATTAAAACAATAGGAAATGAAACTAGCTTTCATTTCTTTTATTCATCGTTCGATCATAGCATTTTCCTCCCTGAATTGTCCCGAAAACAATTTATGTGAGCACTAAATTGTTTGGAAGGACCTCAAGCTATTCGTGTAGCGATTTCAAGTGAAGTTTTTTGTTTTAAACTTCAAGTCAGATGGTATTTGACGTAGGATGCCAAAAAATATGACGAAGACGATCAATGCCTACAACAGACTCTTCGCCTAAGACAATTATCATCAGTCAATAGCTGACATTTCGCACGTAGAGAGAACGACTAACGATTTGGAACGAACTGATTTGTTTAAAGTTTTTAGTCTGGGAATTGAAAAATACATTTTAATACTAACAGTGTGTTGCATTGGCTTAAGTGGGAAAAAAAATTTTACTCGCTTTAAGCTCCGTCGCTTTGCGAGAAAATTCACCCACCAGAACGAAATGGTAATAACCTCTTGAAATAGCAATTAATTTATTGATAGTTGCGCTTTTTGTGATTTTATGCAAAGCAAAACCGATTAAAATCACAATACATAATAAGGAAGGCCCTTTCAAGTTAAAAATTCATGTCTAACTCACCGGCTTCTTGGTTTACCAAGTGACAAAAACAAAATACTCAAAAATATTACTTAAAGTATTGGGTTGGCGGAAAATGTAGAGAGCAAGGACGGTAATGAGAAATAAAACTTTGATAACATGGGCAAGGATTAAAGGATACTCAGCACATCTACAATGCTTATAAATACTACACAGATGGAAAATTTATTTATCAGACTACAAAAGGCATAAATACCTCTATCAAACCGCTGTGTAAATTATTTACTAAAATTAGACGTCTATCTCATTATTTGTTGATCTTTTTCTGATGCGATGACACTTGATTTTTTAGTTATGGAAATTTCGTTGGTAGTGAATTTTAAAAAATTTAATTCAAATACATGTGTTGGTGCTTGTTTTCAAATTTATTGATTTTGGATAAGAACACAAGCAAAGAAAGAAAGAAAGAAAGAAAACACGAGAAAAAAGAGAGATTTTCTGCCAAAGGATACAATTAGTCCACTCGTGTTCTTGACTTCCCTTGACCTGACCTTGACAATTATTTAAGAGAGGCAATTTGTAGCTCTTCTAGAACCATTAGTTAAGGAGAGTTTTATCGTTGCGACGCAAGATGGCACAAGCCGACACTAGTGATGATGGTTTGTTTAAACAAGATCTTAACAAATTCTAATAAGATAAGTCTTAGAATGACAGATGACGCGTCAATTGAGTAAATAGTAATAACCTCAGATTCTGTCTTCGTGAATAACTGTTATAATGGCGATGTTTAGAGTGTTAACACCTGTTCGTTAACTCTTCAAAAATCAGACAGAGTGAATCGAACCATGCAGCCCATAGAACTGTCTGATTATGGCTGAAATTCGTCTTATTAAAGTCTACTTTCTCATCGTCGCCCACCTATAGATACTGGAAAACAAACGGCACATTAACATAAAAACAAAAGTTTTTTCTTTGTCGAACCGGTTAATAAATATAACATCCCACGCTCTGTTCAATCTATTATCTACGGACCGAATCTCATCGTAGTAGAAACTCTCTCCACTTTCATGATGAAAACGTGAGTCAATTAAATACTTTTGACGCTGTTCTGAAGTAAAGGGACACGTATCTCACCAAAATACCTCTATTTTCCATTACTGTTGAGATCGTCGGTTACTTACGTTACATACGGAGTACTTTATAACTTATATACTGTATAACCTTTTTTGGTATAGCAAATCACCAGCATTATGGAGAAGTCTTTCACTGAGTTATTTTCGCCTTCGAATGAGCTTTGTAATTTCCCTCTTTATGTCCTTTTTCAAACAAGCGTACACGAAAGGGTTGAACGCAGAATTCAAAATCAACAAAGTGGTGAGGACATGTCCTCCTAGTTCAGAAATATTGCACGAGAAACTAATGCACAAAATCAAACCATTCGCCGTTACACAGCATCCCAAAAAGAGCAAGACTAAAGCAATTATGAAAGGAGCTGAGTTTGGCTTTTTGTGTCTGCGACGCGGGGCGGCGTCTGTTGTAGCCGCGACTGATTGGTCGGCTTGGTTGCTGTACGTGAGTTCGAGATGTAAAGCAGCTTCTCGGCGCGTTTGCTCGCGCGCCGCAACGAGGATGCGAATGATCGCGTAAAGTAGAAACGTGCAGGACAGTATTTGAAAAACAGGGATGCTGATGAGGAATAGGACTAATAATGCCGTGTGGGAATCTGTAATGTAATATCCCACAAAATTCGACAGTGATAATGCAAAGGCAATTAACCATGCTGTCATGACAATCAGTCTTGTGTGTCTCATCGTTAAAGAGGAATGGTATTTCAAAGGCCGAACGATGGCGAAGAATCGATCCCAAGTCAAGATGCAGAGATTAGAGACCGATGAATTAAGGGAGAACCAAAAAAAGGCTGAGACCAATCTGCGGTTGCATGATTCATCACAAAAGTATGCTGGTGGGAAGATGGCAAATCCAACCAAAAAGTCGGCCACTGCTAGGGAAAGAACGAACCAATTGGCAGAGGAGTGAAGTCGGCGAATTACAATAACTAGAACAATCACAAAACCGTTGCCTGCTACTGTTGAGATTGTGAGGAGCCAGCCGATATAGTCAAACACATTTCCGACTCTCATGTTAACTGGACGACGATCTGTTTTGACACATTCAGACGTGTTTTGGCTTAATGGAGGCTTTCGACGGAGGATTGTAGCTGATCCGTTTTGATTGACTTAGAGGACGTGCATATCTTTACATGTCCTTTGTACCTCACTGATGCCTTATTCAGGAACCAAAATAGCAGTGATCTGGGATGGAAGAACCTAGATGAAAGACATTGAATTGCATATAAGTTATCGGTTCAAAACATAGCTAGCATTTGTTATGGTAATCATACTATGAGGTGCACGCTCTCTGATTGGTAGAGAGTTCAATAATGTATTAATTTAATTGCCCCGAGGAATTGATCATAAAACTGACGCACAAAGACGACGAGAAAAAAATATGGCTTTTTTCGAAAGCAATGTTAGTCACTTTATAAGAAAATACCCACTTTCCTCTTGGCAGGAAAATAATGTGTAGAACCAAAAAGACTCTTAAAAACTGACAATGCAACGCTGTACCAAGACTAAAACAGCTACTTGAGCCGCCTTTTCGAAATGAGTGATACAAACTTATTCTCACCGCAACGATTATTGCATACTTCTAGTTTCAAACTTTTCTTATATACATTCTACACCAGATTTACTAGATAACACCAAATTTAGACATTTGAGCGCTAAGTATGAAAGTTTGCAGCAACCGTAGAAATGTCGGAATCATTTTTAACCTTCCTTTGAATTTTTTGATTATCCAGGTCGAACTATTTTTTTGAAATAGCATGTACCTGATATGTGTCACTTACAGTCTACTATTCGTTGTGAAAGGGGTTATATAGAAAATTTCTTCAGTCCAGTAATCAAGATGGTTGCTTTGTTGAAATTTTTTTTAAACGCAGAATTGAGGCAGAACAATTGGATCAATGTCAGTATCTGGGCAATTGCCCACCTACCCCTCCCCTAACCCAACAACAGTCAATTGATAACAAGTTAGGGTTAATGTTGGGTTAGGGGAGGGGTAGGTGGGCAGTTGCCCAGATACTGATATTGATCCCAACAATTTATGTTTATTAAACGAACATTTATGATTGAAGATGTTAATCTAAACTGGGGTCTCCCTCAGCTGAATTAACTTATACGAATTACAAACAGGTGCTTCTCGCTCTGACGAAGGGCTAACGCTCGAAACGTCATCCTTTAAACTCTTTACGGTGGCCAATTTACGTTTTCAACTCGGTTGATAATACTAAATTACCCTGTTATACTCTCCTACTGACGCACCACCACAGTTTCTCAAGAAACTTACCCTGTTTACGCTTCTCAATATGACTACATCTCTAAGAATGATAGTGGTAGGCAAAGTCGTTGGATATAAGGGGAGCCAATTGAATCGACCCAATAACACAGCTTACTTTTCACTTCACGAGGGGCAGGGAGTGTACGGTCGGCGAAGACAACGAAAGAGCCGAACCCGGTTGTCCGAAGGTTGGATAACGCTATCCACTGGATAAAACTCTATACGGTGGATAACGTTATACGTTTTGCTATCACTTATCCACCAGATAATAATTTATCCGCCTGATAGCGTTATCGGACCTTTATACAACTGGGCCCTGTAATTAAGATGAACTTCGTCAAATTGCAAGAGATATATACTTTTCTTTTTTTCCGGAAATGGCTGTTTCATTTTAAGTAAGAGGTGAAACGAAGCTTTTACTTTTTACGCAACTTCATCTCTTATTAATCTAAGAATTTTTTCGCTATATTTCATCGATACAACTTTCTATCATACTCAAATGTGTGGTCTGTAGCACAGTTGACAGAAAAAGGCCACCACAACACAGCGAGTTTTTCGATGGCATTTCCGTCATGATGTCGGTAGAGGTCACAAGGGGTTCGATTTTTGTTCGAACAGATGTGGGTACTAATTCTTTCCTTTTTAAAATCTGATTCATCCACAGAAATAAAGACTTTTTTATACATCAACGCACCAGTATAAAAGGAAAAAAATATAAAAAAGGTACTAAAATTATATGAAAAATTATGACTCGGAGACGGTCTCAAAACATGACTCAGAAAACTGCTCTAATACGATCGGCTTTGACATTATTGAGATGAGTGTATCAAGGAGAAAACTGGAAAATGGAAAAATGATGGAGTATCGCATCTTTATTTAGTTAACGCGGAGAATCCATGTACGAAGTACGATATCAAGCAGACAATTAATGAGAATAAAGAAAAACATCAATTAGTGGATTATTTGTTGATCCAATTCCAATCTCTCCAAACTAACATCATATGAATAGTATGGCAGACAGTAAGGAGAATTACTAATGAGATCTTGGGAGTTAAAGTGTTAAATAAATTAATATTTCGCTTCGGTTGAATCGTGTTCATTTTTTTTCCTTTTTAAGGGAGGGTTGCCTACTCTGAGCCGAAATGAGTACTTAACCAGCTTGAATGCAAGTGATAGAGACAAACTGCCTCTGAGTAAAGTAGCTTCTCCCCAGCGCATTTTTCCCAAAAATGATGTAAAGAATAAGTAAAAGCGACTTGATGCATCCAACTTGACAGACTTGTCTCTTTGGGGAGACATTTGCCGACATAAGCTTTATTTTGTCTCTATGTAATTGTATTGCGTGAATCTTTCGAGTTCCTCTTTAATTTTTGATCGCGTTTAACATTTTGCATACAGAATCCTAATCCACACGACTCAACTTCGTTCCTTCGTTGTAATGTCACACATCAAGCCCTCACGTTACTTCTCAAACAGCTCTATAATGATATAAAATGTGGATTCTACAAGACATCGAAGCACTTTATAAGGATTCATCATTTGAAGCCAAGCCAGTTATTCAGGTTTTCTTGGTTAATATGCAAAATGGTAAATTACATATTTCAAAATTGGTCAAGAAGGCCACGAAAAAAAAAAAAAAACCTCTCAACCCCTTTCATCTTTTCTTTTTTTCGCATGGAAATGTCTGATGTCTAGTCGTCTGGTCGGCTAAGTTCGATCGATGGATTTACCTAAAGGAAACATAAAAGATGATGCCCCCAAAAGCGGAAAATCATAGTCGGTGGCAGTTACGCTGGGTTTAACATGCGTGTGTACATCACAATAAGCATTTACATAACTTTTGAGGGAAAGAAATATATAAAGTTCCTATAACAAAGAGGTAGGGTATGGGGTCTGTTGAATAGGGAAACACATACAAATTAAAATGCTAAAATGGTAATCATGCGCTGCGCTATACAATTATACCCTACATGTTATGGAAAACAATGATCAAAATTATCAAAAACACGCTCACCAAGATCACCGCCAGGTTTCGTTAATGTGAAACAATTCTAAATTCAAATTTCTTTAAGATAAAAGAAAATGCGACAAACCCGAAGATTTTTACAGAGACGGCTCCTTTCAGCGCTACAGTTTTTTACTGCGCTTTGAAATGAAGATTTAACACTTGCAGAAAGGAAACTATCTGAAAAAGGTTGACCATTAAAATGACGCGCGTTCGCATTTTTAAAAGGTCTCCCTATCTTTATGGACTTAACAGCGTTACCCGCGTAGAATTGGCTCACTCCTTTCCTATTTTCTCTCTTCAAAAAAAGCATAACTAGAGGATTCTCTGCGGAATTATTTAACTAAAAAGGAAAAGAAAAGGATCCTACCAGATGCATGGGTACCTTTGCAGGTAAACCTTTCCCAGAGAGTTGTCGTGCTTACAGGTACGTGACAACCTTAGTAAATACACTAACTATATGGCGATGGTGGAGAGAGCTGTTTCTTTACGCCGGCGAACTTAACATCTCAAGTCGTTCGGGAGCCAATTGGAAAGCGACTACAACTTTTTTCTGTCGTTGATGACGAATGAAAAATAGGATAAGTTTCTAAAGAAATTGTGGAGCTGCATCGGTAGGGGGTGTAATGTTCGGTAGCCGATTGAAACGCGACTACAATTTTCTTTCTGTCAGTTGATAACAAATGAATAAAGGGGGTAAGTTTCTAAAGAACCGGTGGAGCTGCATCGGTAGGGGTGTAATAAGGTGATTTGATCTTATCAACTGAGTTATGTAAATTAGCCACCGAAAAGAGTTTCAAAGCCAGCGTTTCGAGCGTTAGCCCTTCGTCAGAGAAAAAGATGCGTAGCGTTAGATGTTTGCTTCACAGTGATATGAGAAATGTTTAAAGAAGTTTCTTCATCTGTAAGATACTCTCACTCGTTGCTAATCATCAGTTGAGTCACGGAAAGAAAATGGCGAAGGTATCGCATGTTCCATGAAAGTCGTGAGTTTTTTCGAAGTTTGTTTTCAATTAAAGGGGAAGGATCACTTTTCTGATTTGTAGGCCCGCGATATAATGTGGAAGATTTGAACGAATTTCAGCAGGTTTTTCCTCTTCTTACCGAGAAAAATGTTTCGGAGAGGGCCGCCGAACATGATCAGATAGGGCGCCTGAAAAGCAAAAGTTTAAGCATTTGCGTATTACGATAGTTTTGGATCGCAATCAATGTGAAACTTACCTCCTTTTTGGCCTAAACTATTTTCCCGGCGGGTTAAAAACTTCGATACGACGGGATATGTTTCTTCTGGATACTACACGTGAAGTGTTTCGATCTGAAACGGAAACGAAATAGCTGGTTTAGAACATCGACCTGCCGGCGACTAACAAGTAAAGTGATGGTCGCACGCACTTAACTTTTCAATCACATTGGCGACCAGTTGGTTGAACTTTTGGACGCAGATTAACTAATTAAAGGCTGCCGCGGCCAATAACGTACTTCTGCTCGCCGATGATGATAACATTACTGTAGTTCAGACACTTGGTATTACTGTTTGCGAGACCCAAAGATCCCAATAAACACATTCATCATTTAATGCATTTCCGCTTTTTATTTCTTTGGCTGAAAGTAGTGTCTCGTGATATTGGTCTCCAAATGTAAAACGCCGTAAAGGTGCGTCTTGGTACAAATAAAGACCCGCTCCTGCGTTCGGGTAGTTGCGCTCTTCCGTGAAAAAATTCCCGATTGCTTTCCCAAGCTTCCGAACATCGAGTATTGAAAATATTTCCAAAAAAAAAAAAAAAGAAAAAACACAATCAAGGGAAAAAAAAAGGTTATTGAACATCAAAACAATTAGTTGACTCGGTTTCCGCAGATCTTCTTTAGTTGTTTCTCGCAGTATGGGAAAGCTGATCTGCTTGAAATTAAAAGCTCACTCAAGGATTGTTTAATGTGTTAGGAGCAATTCGAATGGTATTCTGAAAATCGGTTGAGTATTAAGCTGAGAAAGCTAGTTACCTATGTGGTTGTCCGTGGACCTAATTTTATTTTATTTTTTTGCGTTTTGTAGAAGTTAAACTTGTTAAGGGTTCTGCGCTGTATATAAACAGCACATCATCATATATTACTAAAACTTTGAAATATCATGATGCGCCTTCATACGTGTTCAGCCTTATAATTACCCGTGCCGTCAATTTTTAATTTTTGTCTTGTAAGAATAGCACACTGAAATTTAGATTGCTTAGAGGATCTGTCATGTTTACGATAATTGACGAGTCAAGTAGTACCGATCGGCACGGAAGGTCGAGAAGGCCTTCGAACCAAAAATTATAGTGTCTTAAAATGTTTTCCTTCCGTTTAAAAATGAGCAGAATGTCTTGTCGAAGTTAAGCTTTCACAATTTGCGCTGATTACAAAACACAACTCAAGTATCTAGCTAACATCAAGTACTACCCTATACAGCATATTAAGGGTTATGACGAATCATATTAAACAGTAAAATTGTGAGCTTTAAGTCATGTTGTCTTTGCAAGTATTTTCATAAATGTAGATATCCTTTTTTCCGTAGTTATTTTTTTCCAGCTAAATAAGCTAAGTAGATATGCAGACATTGCCAACAAAATGGCTTTGAAAACTGTTGCATAATACTGGATAATACTCTAAGATGCACAAGAAATTCATCATTGCGTTCTTCCGCTTTGTCATAGCAAATGAGGTGTCCCAAAAAACTTCAGGGAATGATTTTTCTAGTATTATCTAAAATTATTTCAAATTGAACTTGTCTAAAGGACCTGTATTAAGGGAACCGTATCATATTATTGTTGAACTTTTCTCTGGAGACTTGCTTTGTAAATCAAATGAGCCAATTTTCAAGCAGGCGTCGTCGGACAGTAGGTCTCCATTTGCTGTGTTTTCATTTCATTTCTTTAAAATTCATCTAATTCTACGGTTCCCTAAGGCTAAGCCGAAAGGAGTACCAAACGTAAACTTTCAAACCCATCCCTTAAGAATTCATTCGCTGAAAATAGATCATGGACTAGTGACACAAAAGAATTCCTTCCGAATAGATAGCTTTTCTTAAGCATAATTATTCGTAAAACTGTCTTGAAAATAATCGTTACCATAACTTTCTGACAGACGCTTTCGACTGGACAGACCTGTCTCTCCCGTGAAGCAGTTGTTGACGTAAGCCTCTTTAGTTAAGGCGGCCTAGATTAGTCTTTGATCAGTCTGTTGAAGTGCAGTATTTCATTCGAATTCGGCGTAGACGTCGGTCTTTCTTCTTCCAAAAGCGAATGATGTGTTAGCTGGAATGTGCTCTATGTAATCCAGTGAATACTGATCATCGCAGTCAATAATAGAATCAGCCTTGTAATATCTTTGAGTATTGTAGATTCATATTTTCATTGTTGGCGGGTCGAGACGACTTTTGAATAAGATCACAACCATTAAAACCTCTTGAGTGGAAATGTTAAAGATTTAGTTTTTGTGGTAGCTTTTTGCTCACGTAAAGGTCGTGTAAAAGATGACACGCTATTATGCTATTTGCAGTGCAGGAAATACATAAAAGCTTGGTAAAGTAAAGTAAAAAAAAAAACAGGTACAAAAAATAATTGAAACAAAAGTACCGAAACTATCTTACATTTGTTATTGAATCGAAAATGTCTAAGACAAGGAAATTTGGTACACATAATGATCTTACCTTATTTTCAGCTAATTAAACTAAACTCTTCGTGACCAAATAAAAGTTTACAAATCTATATAAAAAGATAAAAAATTTGTGTTGCGCAACTTTTTGCTTCCGATGCAGCTGCTACCTTTGAAGAATTATTTACAAATTTTTATTCGGGGTACAAACGAAATAAAAGTCTACAAATCTATATAAAAAGATAAAAAATTTGTGTTGCGCAACTTTTTGCTTCCGATGCAGCTGCTACCTTTGAAGAATTATTTACAAATTTTTATTCGGGGTACAAACGAGCTTATTCATGTAAGGGGGGGAGGGGGTAGTTTTTCTACGCTCTAGATGTTGACTGAAACGTCAGTTGCACCTGCTTTGCACCTTTCTTCAAATTCTGATCTAACTTCTCTTTTATAGCTGTTGTTTCTGAATTCGTTAATATTCGTTCTGTTCCTTTTTGTCATATTTTACAAGTTCTTGAACGGTAAATCACATATGGTAAAATTTCAAATGATACACTTCATTCTCGTATCGCTCGATGTTCATTTCTTTTTTGTAGGGCTTAAAAAAAATTTTTACATTTCTCTAGAGGTTAGGGGCTACTTTCAATCAGTCTTATATAAGTGACGAAAATCTTAATTTCTCCCAAAGCGTCTTAAGCTAATAACGGGAGGCAAATTAAACAACACCCTAGGGCCTATTTACTTTACACGCCCACTTTTAAGTTGAGGCCTTTAGAAACAAATTCAATTTTGAAATTACGATTGAAACTCAGTGTAAAACTGATTTTCGAGCCACGAAGCCGCCTTCTCCTTTAAAAATAGTTGTTAATAAAATATTACTAACAGCAGGCGAATGCAAACACCAACAACTAAAGACAACAACCAAATTACAACCCAAACCAAAAAACGTAACTGATAAGTTTTAAAATTGCTATTTTTTCACGAGCCAATGCAGCAATATTTTTGGCTCTAGTTAATAGTCGTATCACCGTTTGGGAAGAAATCCAGCAAATAGAAAAAGTGCATGTCCACATCTTAGAAGTGTTAGTTAATTCAGGAAAGGTTTATTCCGGTGTAATAAACATAAAAGTAAGCGTAATTCGAAGAAGTATATTAAATCTTGGTTGGCAGGATGCATTAAGGGTTGATCGATAGGAACAACTTGACAAACAGAAAAAAAAAAAACCGCAAGTCACACCATTACTTTTTATTTAATCATATTATACGGTTGCAATACAAAATAGTCCGGAAACGTATTGTTTCTTTTTTCGTGAACCAATTTTGAATTTAAATTTTCCCTAATGAGTTGAACAAAATGAACAAAAAGAGGTGAACTAATAATAGAACAACACAGAATACAATAATGAATAAGTTTTTGAAACACAGTTCTTGCTGCATCTTTGAAATGTACATCGCCACATGAAGGAACAAAAGATACATAGAAAAAAAAACTAATGGAATGACACTTGTTTCACATTTCTATAATGCCGTTGACATTCTCATTCTACTTGATGGATTTAACGTGTCAAATCCTTCATTAGAGCGTTCTCTGCAGAAAAGCCTCTGTACTTCTCTCTTCATATCCCTCTTTAAAAGCGCATATACCAAAGGATTACCTGCGGAGTTCAGAGTGAGTAGGCAAACGATGGTCTGGCCAACTGCAACGGAAGATTGACACGAGGAAAAAGTCACACAAAGAGTAACGGCGCTTACAACTACGTAGCATCCCAAGAAAAACACAACTATAGCGATGATGAAGAGAGCTGTGTTGCGCAGTCTTCCTCTTCGTAAGGCTTCTGCTTCCGTGGTGGGCCTTCCGTTTAGCTCCAATTCAGACATCTGGCTTGCCTGTGTCCGAGCCACAATGAGAATACGAACAACGGCATACAAAAGCAGCGCGCAGGAAACTATGTCAAAGATGGAGATGTTTAGTATTCGCAAGATCTTCAGGGCAGTGGGGGACTGCGTTGCGTATAATCCCACCAAAAGAGACAAGGCACTCGCAAAGGAAATCAGCCATGCGGTCATGATGACCATCCCTGGACGTCTCTCGGTCATGGACGTGTGGTACTTGAATGGATGAACGATTGCGACGTAACGATTCCAAGTCAATGCGCAAAGATTTGTGGCCGACGAATGTAGGAAAAACCAGAAAAGCGCCACGTATACTTTAAGGTTACACTCTATTGAGCTTAAACAAAAATATGACAAAGGATAAACGATGATTCCAACACCAAAGTCGGCCACTGCCAAAGACAGAACAAACCAGTTTGCAGTGGAATGAAGTCGACGAGTTTGGGCCACAATACCAACCACAAAGCCATTTCCTGCCACTGTAGCGATAGAAAGAACCCATCCAAGAATGTTGAACCACGTCTCCATTTAAATCGAACCTCTCTTGACGCACTGCCACAACTGTTCTCGCTTAAATGGGTTTAAAGCGTAAAATAGGTCGCTGTCATATGCCAAGCGAAATGAATAAATACAATCCCATAAATTTACAATTACACGGCAATTTAATTTCTTTTCCAGCTGTCACTTAACAGGGAATTGTTCTTCAGATGCTTGTGCCTATCTGTGTTTGCAGAATTTAAACAATGTTTTGAATTGCTCACGTCGTGTGTTTTCCTCCACTTAAGAGTTATAAGTGGAATATAAATGAATATGCAAGCTTATTGAGGAATTGAAAAGTAAATTCCGCCAAGACTGCTCTAAGACTCTTTGCTGGTGTAGATTCCATCAAACTGCTCCGAAACAAATGTCAGCTGGTTGAGGTTAACTGAGAACAATCGTATTTTTTGTTCACAAATTGGACTCGTGTAGGAAAATTTGCACCGCAAAAATTCAAAATTTCTTATCTAAGATAAAATTTCAATGCATAAATCGAAGCTCATTTATCATCACCACCTACTCTTTTGAAGTTGTCAAAGTGTCTCCTAGCGCACAAAAATTCAAAATTTCTTATCTAAGATAAAATTTCAATTCATAAACCGAAGCTCATTTATCATCGCCACCTACTCTTTCGAAGTTGTCAAAGTGACTCCTTGCGCGCATTAATCTATTGTGCGGTATGAATGTGTTTATCAAGAGTTTCCGAAATTCTTAATCAATAATCCGGACGAAGTATATACTTTTTCCCAAGATGACAATAGAAAGTATAGAAAGACACTCTTTGCATATAACTTAGGGCATCACAGCTGCAATTGGAAAGTAAAGATGAGTTACGTGCATGAACCATATTTATGGTTCATGCACGTTATTTTTCTCTAAAAAAATGTTATTTGAAAAGTAGTTTGAAAAAAATTGAATCTATCTTTTTGGAAAAAGTTAGAAATATTAACCTTTATTTTCCGTCGCTAATTCGGCTTCTATTCCCACACTTTGCTGTCCAGTTCATTAAAACCCCAATTTCAATTCAACGAGGCTTTTAGTGCACAATCCACCTGTGTTGGTTTCAAAGAAACCGAAACTCCCTGTGTCATATATTGTTTTGACATTGTTCAGGTATAAGGTCCCCATGAGAGTACTTCCAGATTAATTGAACTTTAATGGTCAAACACGAGACTTTGGCTTTCCCTTAGGTCGGATTATGACCTTTGCACATAGATTTTATTCTAAAATATTTGCTGACGGTTAAGAATTAGAATGCAATCTAAAAAAATAAGTAAGAAACTTCAGGTGATACTGTTATCGATGGCGCTTCTTTCATACCTTTGTTTGAATTAAAACAAATTAAAACCGAAAAAAAAAAGCACAGGGTGCGATAAATATTTTTAATCTGTAGGTGTTGTCATGATAATTGCTTCGTTTGTTTCTGTGCTGACAATGAAGCACTTTTAATTAACTTTCCGTCAGAAAGCTTTCATGTTGCTGTTAGATTGAGATAAGAGAAGAAAAGCTTAACTATCATTATTTTTTCGGTAAAATCTTGGTTTTGATGGTTTTCGCGACTCATACTCTCTGTAATCCTGCTGAGGAGGACAAAGCAGTTGTTATCTCATTCACATGATTTTTTTTTTTTTTTTTGTGGGAAAAGACTTTTCCGGTAAACGGATGGGTAAATATTTGTTAGATTTACTTAAAATTTCAGGAGGTCAGCTTTATTTACCCCTTCGAACCTCATTTTTCTTACGCACTCGGACAAGGTTTTCAAATTTTTCGTAAACAGCTGAACTGAGCTGAAACGCCGACCGCAAAAGAACCATAACTACTTCTATTTTGCATTTGCCGTTACAGTAAACATGTTTCTAAAGTTTTCCATAAATATTTCAGTTAATATAAAAGAATATAGATTGATTTCATAGTAAAAGGGACAAATTTAGCGGTTGATTGCTGTCCTGGTGAATTCCCCTTTCTAAGAAATGTCTCGAGCAACTTTTTGGAAAACTCTTCAACAGAAATCTATCTTTAAAATCTATCGGAAAGACAAAAGTCTTCAACTTTTCAAAATATTCTGCTCTTAGCTTATGTTCTGCTATAATTATCGGACCATATAAGTAAGGGTCAAAACGTCACGATTCTGTCCGATTAAGCCGCATTTCGTTGGCATTCATTTCAGTCAGAGGCTCTGGAAATTCTATCATGTCACTCGACTCCAGCCTTCAATAGTAAAGACATAGTCTCAGAGTTTCATAGTTTTGAAACAATCAAGCCCGAGAATCTGACAAGTACTTTCAAAAAGCACTTTTAATGAACTGAAAGAGTGCCAAGAGAATCTCTCATTTTATGTTCTTTTGAAAAATACAAATTGCATTTTTTCTGAAATCTCTTCTCCTGGGTAAACATTAAAAAAATAGTTCCGGAAGTTTTCCCTTTACTTTGGCAAACAACCCAATTGTAGAAAATACGTAAGCCATCTTTTTTTTGTTTTTTTGTTTTGATGGTCATATATATATCGACCAGACAGCTTAAAACGCTAGAAATGTCTATAAAATATGGTTTTGTCTGGTGCTTGGCAAATTTTTATGTTGCGATTTAGATTCAAACACTTAGGGGAAGCTTATTACTAAATTTTTGTTTTTACTTTGCCTTTCTATAATTTTCTTTTCACGTCTTTCTTTTTGCCGTCCAGCGGTCTCTCCTCTTATAACCTTTAAACTCTGTGCTCTTTGTTACTAATACTCAGCAGATATGAAGAGGGAAAACTGGGCATTTTATTTATAAACTTGGCGCTTAAACAGAGATTGGGCTTCCAGTCATCACGAATCCGCGAACAAATTCAAAGACCATTTCCTAATTATCTGGTCAGCCTCCTCCCCAAAGAGAGTATTAGTGTGCAATCTTTCGCTTAAAAATGAGTTCAGTCAATTTCGACTGAGCCGTAACACCAAAATTCATGGCAACTTTCTTAATATTTACATTAGTCCAGCCGCGAGTTAGGAATCGTTCATGCAGTATTCATGAACAAGTTCTATGATATATGTTTAACAAAGAGAACGCTAACGTTTTCCTGAGACAGAAGTCCGACTCTGAACATAAAAATTAATGACAGCCAGTCTGACTAGTGAAAGGCAATTGTTTCTATACGGGAACTTTTAAGAATAAAAAAGGCAAACCAAGTTGTGAATATCAATAAAAAGCTTCCAAATACAGCCTCTTGAGTGCTATTGTTGTTACTGCTGATAATGATTCCACAGTTTCATACAACATGAGCGAAATCTAAATTTCGTAAAGACACAGGAAAAGGAAGAAAACATTCTTTTAAAGCCAGCCAGTATGACCACTTCCTCTCCCACGCATGTCAAATGTTTTTTCGCGTGTGTACATTAAAACCCTGTTTGACAATTAAATTTTTTTTTTTTATCGTAATCTTTTAGGATGACCTATTTCAGTTTTAGATTATTTGTCTGACTTTCCTTTGTCGGCCTATGGCAGTCATTCAGAATGCTTAAAATTTTGGGGTTTTAGAACAAACGAGCAACGTACGTATGTAAGTTATCATTTAAGGAGTCTAAGAGATCGCATTCTTTTTTTTTAAAGTGGTTGTTTCGTTGTTCACAAAAGTATGTAAATTGCCATTACAAAATGAAGCAGGTGGCCTCCAATAAACCAAATATGGAATTTACAGCACATTATGTAGTATTAATTCTGTTTTGTCAGTGAAATCTGGCGTGGGAAACATCGATTTAAATAAAGTTCGCGCGTGAAACAAAAATTTCAGTTTATCAGTTGTTTCCGTTTTTAACTACGTCCCATCGAGAGTTATCTAATTGTAATAATAAACCACACTGGCGTGAATTCAACTCATCATATGATACCTATTTTAAGTGATTTCACACAAGTCTTCAATAGAAGCATATTATTGAAAATAACACCGCTCGTCTCAAAAAAAAAAATTGAAAAATGTAAATGGATACTTGAAAACGATGGACGCACAGAATGTTACCACGGGGGAACCTCTTACACACGACTTTCCCATTGGTCCTTATTCCAGTTGCAAAAAAGCTTTTTCATGTGCGTTTTAATGTCATTCTTACAAAACGCATAAACAACAGGATTCGCAGCGGAATTCAAAACAAGAAGAACATTAAGAATCTGACCAGCTTTGCCCGGAACTTTGCAAGAAAACGTGAAGCATAAAATTAAGTAATTTACAAGTGCATAACATCCTAGGAAGAACACGACTATGGCCACTACGAAGCCAGCTGCGTTGGATCTTTTGCGTTTACGAACTGTTCCTGTAACTTCACTAGATTGGTTAGACTGAAGTTGTAGTTGAATCGCGTTAGATATTTTGGCTTGGGCGCGAGCTACAACTAAGATACGAACCACAGCATAAAGAAGCAGCACGCAGGATATCATGTCAAAGACAGAGACGCCTGTTAGACGTAGAATTTTCCATGCAGTTGTGGAGTCTGTTGCGTACATCCCCACCAATAGTGATAGTGAAATCGCAAAGGGAATCAACCATGCTGCTGTGATGACCAATCCAGGGTGTCTTTTGGTTATGAAGTTAGTATACCTAAAAGGGTGAACTATGGCGATATAGCGATCCCAAGTCAATGTACAGAGATTGGCAACTGACGAGTGAAGAAAGAACCAAAACATTGCCGTGGTCACGAAGGAGTCGCACTTTATTTTCTCGATACAAAGATATTGTAACGGAAAGACGGCAAATCCGATCGTTAAGTCGGCCACTGCCAAGGAAAGGACAAACCAATTTGCCGAGGAATGAAGTTGACGATTCTTGGAGACAAGGCCGACTACAAATCCGTTTCCCACAATAGTTACGACGGAAAGTAACCAGCCAAGAATATTGAGCCAAAAAACCATTTCGATAGTTTCGCAAATAGCTGAGATTTTTGAAGCCGATCCTCAGAGCTTGTATAAATATGATAATGAGTTTGATATACCAACCAATCGTCAGCTGCGGGTTTATTGAACGCAACCACAGTTATCAGAATGTCCTCCGAGGTCTCGTCTAGAAAACTGGCATTTTAATGCTGTTGCATTGTTATCTCTTAATTTGCATCCTGATTTCTTTTTCAGCCTCTCAACAATTTGAATGTAAAGGTTATCTTAAGAAGACATGAGCCGATAAATAATTCAGTGCTCTTTCTATATCAAAACTATCAGTAACGTGGAGTTATTGGTAACATGGACACTGTGTCGTTTCATTTGGGGTTCAGAAAATTACAGGGTCAACAGTTTCACATGATGATCACCAACTATTAGTTATCAGTCACGCGATTCGGTGTTTATCGGCCGAGAGACTTCTCTGTACGGCAACAAAAAAAATATAGACGATGTTACATTGTAAAATTAACACTAGGAGTAGGTTAACACCTCCTGGAGCTTCTCATTTTCTTTCAGCACTCTCCATAAATGGAGTTGTTTCTCATGTAGAGAGTAAAAAAAAAGCAATTATCTTTACTTTTAATCCTTGGCAATTGTCAGAGATCGACTTACACTTCCTAGGGTACACGAAGCCCGTAAACGTTATTTCATCATGCCAGCTGATGGCGTGATTGTCATGTGACAGTTCAATTTATCTCATGCGATATAGGGAACATTGCATGAAAAGGCGAAAAAGCAAATGCGTTTAAAATACATCGAGCAACGCTTTTTTTTTAACAAAATCGTTTACCAATGTACGAAGCAGCTGCTGTTAAAAGAGCAAATCATTTCGAAAAAACCGGAAAATAATCATTTTCAGTGAGAGCTTATGTATTATATACCACGTTGATCCTTTGAAGACCAAGTTGTTGCAAGGTATCGTGCCGTTTTCATCTACCCCCTGGCATTTGAACAGATGCCCTATTCCGGTACTTAAAAAGCTGGCTTTGAAATAATGTTGATACGCCTAGGAGGCCGCTTTTTTTTTTTTAATTAAGGGCAAGTCTTCGTTTACAGGACACAGCGTCATTCACCTGTGATTCGTATGTCCGAGAACTCAATATTTTTATCTGCTTTGACACTTGAAATATTTACTGTGAGGTTGAGATATGTTTAATGTTACAACATCAGAATACATGATTAATAAAGCGTCACTTCAAGATAACGAACTCCGACAACTTTTCTTTTTTTGACGCTTGAATCCTTCTAGTAATCAATCGAAGTGAGACTGTGAAGTGTATGGATGGTCCAGCGCGTAAGGAGTAAGAGCATTTTTCAGTAGTGTGTGTTTTTTATTCACAAACCTTCAAGAATTTTTGAGTCATAGCGAAACTCAGTTATCGCACGCGCTTCGAGTAAAGCAATAGAAACATTGTTAGTCGCAGTAAATACAGTCAGTAATCTGAAATAAAATGAAAATAAATCAGTGAAACTTGAACCAAAACGGTATAATCTGACTGTCGCATGAGTGACCAGCAAAGGTGTCCTAGATATTTCGAATATTTTCAAGGCTCCTCTAACAGCCTACATATAATCCAGAAGCGTTAAGCTTAAGTTAACCGAACCCATTCTTATAAAGAAGGGGACGAAAGAAGAGCTGCAAGAGGAAGAAGGATTCGCTAATATTGCATTTGCTTTGTTAGGAATGATTTGACTTTTATCAGTAAGTGGTCGGAAATTTTGAAAGCCTCTGTCTACGACTGGTGTTTTTATGGCCAGAGAAGCTCAGAGAAGTGAAGCGCCATTTTCTACTAGAAGAGTACTGCGCCTTATCATTTTCTTTCCTTTTTCAGAAGTGGCATTTATCCTCACCGGAAAAATAGAGCAATTCCAAGAGCAGAATGAGAAACAATTATCATAAACGAGGTCGAAAGACTACACTAACCGAGGAAACTTTCCTAATCAAAATCCGCCTCAATTAATTGCATGTGGCGCCTAAGATTTGCACGTCCAGGGTTGTCCAACAATTCACAGCATCGGTGTTTATAATTTGGAGAATTTGTTAGATTTCAAGTTTAAATAAGGTTCCCACCACTTTTTAAATCCTCATAGGGAATTTTTTGAAAAGCGGTGACGAAGTAAATAGGAGAACATTGAAGGAGATGTAATCATTTCACCTGCTACATTTTGAATTATCAGCCATTACGCTTGGTGAAAGAACAGTCACTTTCTGTATGTAGATTACTTTTTTGTACAGCATAGGCGCAAGTCGAAAACAGCATTTAAAGAGTGATATCTTAAGAATAAATTATAGAGGTCTCAAACGAAGAAAAAACCGACAAAGGTATACCTTAACTTGAGAAAACTCAAGTTTAAATATTTGAATTCCCTATGTACATATTTGCGAAAAAGGCGTCTTATCAAAATTAAAATTAGAACTGCAGACTAGCAATTCATGATCGATAAAGTCGCCTTTTTGAGGCATTCTGTATTGATGGAAATTTTCTGCTGCCAAGAAAGTGTAATGAAAAAATAATTAATGAGTAATTGTCTTCTATGTGCCATGATAAAAACAGTAACTTTCATTACGTAGATTATTTTTCTGTGAAACATAGGCGCAAGTTGAAAAAAAACATTTAAGGAGTAATATCTTAGGAATAAATTCTAGAGACTTCAAACGGAGAAAATACCCACAAGGTACACCTTTAACTCAAGGAAACCTGAATTCTCTACGTACGTAATTATGAAAAAGGCGTCATATCAAAATTAGATTTAGAACTGCAGACTAGCAATTCATGATATAGTTGCCTTTTTAAGGCGTTCTTTATTAATGGAAATTTGCTGTTGTTATAAGAATGTGTAAAGAAAAAATGTTTATAGTACTTACTAGTTTTTCGAAATTTTTTCCTCCCGTGAGATCCGTTGTGTTTTTTTCATCTCGTCGATGACAACAACATTGCAGTTTGATGTGGCTGGCACTTTTACTCACCCAAAGAGCGGACATTTCCGCTAAATCGGGACATGTTTTATTGAATTTGTAGTGAAATGTTTGTCAAAGTATAAGCAAAGTGCTCCAGTTGTCAAGAAAAAAGGAGAGATCTTAATAGAATCGGTACCGTGTCAGCAATATATTATTCACAAAACATAGTTGAGTAATAAATGAAGACATGCAGCGTGCATAATTAGTTTTTGCCAGTCTTCAATTAATCAAGATTTTACCTTTTTGTGACGGTATATGTATATGAAGGTGTGCAGTATATGGTCATTCTCGGACCCGTTTGGTAGCAATGGGCAATGTTGTGAAAAATAAAGATAACATTTTTTTAATGATAGATTTTTTTCTTTAAAGGGTCACTACACTTCTAGTGGGGTTCATACTTCTTTGAGGAAAGCTAACATGCATGTACATTGCCTGAAGCAGAGTTCCCTTCATCTCGAGTTTGCTAAAGAATTGCTTGGACTTTACAAGTAGCCAAAAAATGTTTTCACCTTCCTTAGGCTAATCGAAAAAAACAAAACAAAACAAAACAAAAAACTAAACGGACTACAACTTGCTTAATCCTTTTTGTCGTGACATGTATGAGCTACTTATACTTACGGAAGTGGTACATCCGTTTACATATCGAGCTGATTGTTGATCGTAAAAGTCCGGAGTCGATCAAAATTTTTTTCCATGGAAGCTTCTGCATGAAAACAAATTTTGTAAGCGAGTGTGTGCATTACTCAGATGCGAGTCACGACAGAGAACAGAAGATACTCAACGGGTCTCTATACACAATCTCCAAGGTATGTTTTTCCGAGATGGAAATTAATACTTCAATATAAAAATCTCTATCTTCTATTGAAAATCACTCTGAAAGATCATTATAAGTCAGACCAAGGTTTTCCGTTTTAGTAGTGCGATTGCATCCAAAGCCATTCTCTTTTGGTGATTTACTGAAATATTAATATATCATTGAGACTGGATTACGAAGCGAACTACTGCTCGCCTTTTACAGACTGTTTTGAGCGAGAACTAATATGGGAACACTTGATGAACTGGCTCAGATCTAGTCTTCTTACGTAACATATGAATTAGAACGAGCCTTAAAGGCGAAGTTCTCAATTTTTTTTCCCTTCGCGTTTGATAGATCAGGGTTGGATCTAAACAATAATTAAAAATGCAAAAAAAAAAAAAAATTGGAGCTGACAATTAAACTACATTGTACAATTACGTTTGCGAAAAGTATGGGGAGCATTTAAGCGTCAAGAATCTTATCTGTAGCCATCAGGTTGGAACAGGAATCATTAAAACTTTTCTGGTTATTATCCAATCAGTGGTAATTGAATTTAAAGACACCTTTTCATGCTTAAAATTATCATCGCAATTTTGAATGGGAAAAGAAAACAAACATTTCGAGCACCAATACTCAAATAATGATCTAGACATTTTCTAGTTATTTTTGGAAATGAATTTTTTAAATTGATCTCGCTTTCGCGGATCTAGTTTACACCGATAACTAAGTAATTGTTTTTTATCCTGATATTGAATATCTTTTTTTTTAAGATTTAGACGCTTAAGGGTGCGTTTCTTTATTAAAATCCAAAACTAGTTCGCCATCTGTATTTGAATAGAGGCACTCAAGAATTCCAGGGATTCAAAGAAAGATCGACAGTTGTTTCCTTATCTTAGCTGCTGTCTCACACCACTTAGATGTGGCAAGGTTGTCAAGAACAGGAAAGGCATGCTGAGACGTAAGGAAATGACTACGGAAGTCATTTGCACTGTACCTTGGAGATTTTTATCAAAGTACAGCTTATTTGAAACTGTCTTTTTTGCCTTCGGCTAATGAGGAAAACTGAAAAGAGCTCGTCTTCGTTTGGCATGTTAATTGAAATTTCGCTGAGGCAATCTCCGAGAATGAAATCAATCGGAAAACAGTAAACTTGGACGGCGGTGTTCTCGGCGGCCATCTTTTTCGCTGGGATACCGTTCGTATCGTAGCTTGGGTTTAGAAGATAATAAGCTCTCTTGAGACATCATTCCTTTTCTCAGCGAAAAATCCTAATGATCCGGATTTTTTGTCTGGTCTCGGATTTAAATAAAGAAACGCACCCTAATTAGTTTTTCGTTTAGTTGCCTTACGAATAAACTGGTATTAGGACCATTTTACGAACCGGAAATACTGGAAGTATAGGAATAAATGTCCTTGGCCCAACAACGGTTCAATTCAATCAGAGTTTTTCAAAGGCTGTTTACTTGCGATCTATAAACAACTGGAAGCCCAGATACTACGAATAATACCTATTTAACAAAGCTCTTCTATATCGAATTTACAGCATAAATGATATTACGAAACGAAAGTCCATGGCAGAAATATGATCTAAATAATCGATAACTCGCTCAGAGAAAGAAACATTATTTTCTGACCACCGGCAGGTGTCACAGAGGTTTATCTGCGCCGGGTACTTAATCGTCGATTTTAAGCTGCAACGTTTAAAAAATCCCAGTGGACCGGTGGTTCGAATACTTTCAAATGAAGGTTAGTAGGCGAAGAATTAAATTATTATAACCCTTGAGTTCATTACGTTGACGACAAAGGGGAACTCTCCAATGTAAACCTCAGCAGTTCTCTGTTTATTTAGTTTCCTTTGTGGAAAACTTCTCTTATTTTTCTTTTGATGTCTTTCTTTAAAAAAGCGTAGACAAGTGGATTCACCGCGGAGTTAAGAACAAAGAGTAAATTGAGGACCTGTCCAGCTTTCTTTGAGGATTTCTCAGAGAGATTGCAAGCCCGGAAACTGAGGCACAAGATCAAACAGTTTGCCACAACGTAACATCCCAGGAAAAACAAGATAAGAGCAATAATAAAGCGAGCGGTGTTGTGTTTCCTATGTCTACGAATTGCCACATTCTCTCCTTCAGCTATGGAAGAGTGGCCAGACTGAAGCTGTAGTTCGATGGCAGTTGACCGGTGTGACTGAGCACGAGCCACCTTTAAGATCCGAGCAACAGCATACAAGAGGAGCATGCAGGATATCAAGTCGAAGGCAGAGACACCCGTCAATCGTAGAACTTTCCGTGCAGTCTCGGAAGTTGTAATGTACATTCCGACAAAAAGTGCGAGCGAAATTATAAATGGAGTTAACCATGCTATCATGATAACTTTATCGGGTCGTCTATTGGTTATAGATGCAATGTATTTGAAAGGGTAAACAATGGCGACATAGCGATCCCGGGTCAATGCGCAAAGATTTGTGACCGAAGCGTGAATAGCAAACCAAAAAAGTGCCATTTCTATCTCTTGGTTGCACGCCATTAGTTTGTTACAAATATACCCCGATGGAAAGACGATCACTGCAACCACAAAATCTGCCACTGCCAGAGAAAGAACAAACCAGTTGGCAGAGGAATGAAGTCGACGATTTTTTGCGATAAGAACGACTACAAAGCAGTTTCCTGTCGCTGTGGCGGCTGAAAGAGACCATCCAATGGAACCGAGAAAAGCCTCCATTTGAAACGCTGGAAAAATTGCTCCTACAGCAACCTGAAGACCAAAGTCGAACGACGAGTTCTTACCTGTGTTTGAATCTATAGGATTATAATGTTGATAATAACATCTCAAATATGTTTAGTGAGGAATACAACGGCGAAGAACGAGGGACTGACTATTGATGTTTTTCTCTTCCTCTAAGAGGTTCATATCAGGAAATGCGTTTGCAAGGCGGATGGCGGCTAAGTACACTAAAACTTCATTGAAATGCAAATAAGTAGGTCAATCGAACGTCGTAAGTCGCTTTTGATATTTACTTAGAGCAGTGCTTCGTTAGTGAATCGACTGGAGGTTTTTTATTGTGGCGTAACCATTCTAATCGACCATGGAAATTTTTTCAGCTGCATCAAGTAAGGGCAAAATAAAACCACGAACGAATGTAGAAAACGAAGAAAAATCAACACAAATACTAATTACTTAAGCTGAAATTAATACTAAAGAAATGCAGACTGTTTATGTCCTTTGTGGAGGAAATTGTCTATTTAGTACAAAACATTTTCATTTCAAAGCTGCTCAAGGTTTCTTTGATGGCCCGCTGCGGTGACTCAGTGAAAAATGTTACGGAAAAAATTCGACGCCTTTATTGACCGTGTGATGCCATGACAAAGAGAATATCATCCTGTCTTCATCCAATCTTTTATTTAAAGCACAATGTTTTTTTTGGATCAAAAACTTACGATATTTGAAAGGAGCACTGCCGACTGTCATCAATTACATCTTTAGGACAATATCCGTCTGGCATTGTTTGTCAAGCTTTCCTTCATTTCGGAAGAATAATTTAAAAAACAATATTGTTTACCCCTTGTTTTACAATAGAAAGAAAAAGTGTCACCTGCTTGGTTTGCGAAATATCCGTCATAGCCAAAATATAGGTGCGATATTGGTTGCTTTATGTCTTAACGATGTAACTCCCCGACAAAAAATAAAATCTACAAGACTACATGTCTTTTTAAATGTTCTTCTTAAAAGAAAAAAAAAAAAAAAAAAAAAGAAGTTCACTGACACCTCAACATGTAGATATGATGACATGATTTGTCGTAGAAGTCAACTTTTTCCCCCAGCAAGCGCTGTGATGTTTTCATCATTAATTTAAGATACCTATCCTAGCAAACACTCTTTTGTTTTTTATGCGCTTATTCCGCGATGGTTTAACGAAAAAAAGGAATCGCTTTCAAACGCGTTTCGAGCGGACGCAGACGTGTTTCTGCGTCATATGTTACTAAGGAACTCAAGGCATAAGGTGTTTATAGGAATATGGTGCGCTTGACATAAAACTGTACACAATATCACCATAAGTTATCTTGTTTGTCTTGTTTATCTTGTAACTGTGCCGACTAAAGTAAAAAATCAGATGTATTTAAAATACTTAATTCGTTATAATTTTGATGACAGATTTCTGAATAAAATAATTATCAATTATTTCTCGTTAGTTTGCTTTTCAGCATTTTCGGCATTGGCAGACATGCGAGCAATTTTGGTAAAATTTGCTGAATGAAATTGCTCAGACACAATTTATTAAATATTTATAGGACATCGTTTTATTACCGGTTACGCTGTTCACCTTTAGTTACTTCGCACACGATTTTCTCCACAACTTTCTTCGTTACCGTCCTGTTTAAAACAGAGGTTTAATAAAAAATTTAAAACTGAGAACAAACAACTGAGGCCATGCACTTTTTATCGAGCAGTTGGAAAGTTAGATTGTGATTAACATAACTGAATGATTTATTCACCACCAGCTAGCAAACCAAGAAAAAAAAAAACAGAAAAATGTGTCCTCTTAGACAGAACCTTTCCAGTAATGTATGATACTCGTTGTAACGCTTTGCCGTGTTTCATTCAGTGGGTTAGATCAGTTGAAAACGTTACTATAATTTAGAGTCAATGACATAAAAGACATGCATGGTATAAATTACATATTTGAGTGCCCGAAGGATCCTTTGATTGCTCTCCTTTAAACGCTAATTTTGCTGAGCTTTACAGTTGATGATCAGTGCACGGAAAACTTGAAGACTGAACCAAAACAAATACAACAAAAACGGAGCCATTGTTAAGACTCAATAGGCCCTCAGGTGACTTGGCTGTGCATCAGTAATGAGTAACCTTTCTGTGTAAGTACTTGGAGTCAGAAAAGCAATCAGCCTAACATTGTGTGAGGACAATCTTTACTTTTCAGCCATCCATTAAAGATAACGCTTCTCTTAAGTAGGAGTTTGTTCGCAAAGTTTCCTCTCTAAGCTAAGCAAGAGCATACAGAGTTCGCGTCAATCATTCTTGTTTGGTGAAGTTACAAAGAAACACCCCAATCAAGCTTTACTGGAAAATGACAAACACAACTGATGTGGAGGTAAAGGTAAGCTTTCAGCAATGGTTGAGTTCTTAACCATACTAGCTTAAGGGCTTAGATTTCCCGTAAAATGTTCCTTACAAGGACTTTGATTAAGCTTGTTGCCCATTGTGAATGTGAATAAAAACGTGATTGGTGGTTTGATTTTATGCCCGATCCTGATCAAACTTTGTCGATATCAAACTGATATGACTCCACAGCTGTGTTGATTTTTTTGACCATGGGTACAAGCTTGAACGAAATCGTTCGAGATATACTTTAGCGCCACACATTTTCTCATCAAGCAAACGTGTTCAGTGTTGTGTTTTTTTCAAATTGAAGCGTTAATAGTTTTAAATCATTTGGTATCCAGTGGAAACTTACTCACTTTTCAAAGACTGCATACGCATCTTTTTTGGAAAAAACATTTTCCAACCATCGTTAAATTTTCATGCAATGACAATTTGTAAACGTTTGCTTGCCTGAGCAAACTTATTCACTATTCAAAGATTATTGCATCTTTTTTCCATCCCCGTAGTTACGAAATAGATTAAAAAACATTAACATTATGCAAAATCGAAAACGCATTTGCCGATGCTTCATTTGAGTAACGTGTGCAAATTTCAAGAAAATGTGGTCTTTACGATTTTTGCTTTCAGATATGTATAGATATAAATTTAAAAAGATGATCTTAATATTCCTTAGTGAAACTGACAAAAGTAAAACAATACAAAATAAGCAAAAAAGGCATTTCCTGAAAATTTGCCATCCATCCCCCTCAACATTTTGGTTTAGTATTAAATGTGCTAAATTCGCTGAGTGAGCTGACCTCATATTAAGCAGTTAAAAATCCTACGGAAGTGTAAGATTATCATAGCAATCTTACTGTATTAAAGATTAATTTATGTTTAAACAATGAAGCCTTACATAACCTATGAAGTCTGAGACTTTTAAATTCATTTTCTTAAATTTGAACTCCACGGCGATAGAAAAGTCATTTTGACGTCGGTTTGTAAACTTTTTACATAATCTGCACTGATCAATGATTATCTATTAAGGAAACATATTGCAAAAAAGGGCTTTTGGGGATAGATTTTTTACCTATGCAAGAATGAAAATCTGTGGCAATAACTGCCTTTCGTAATATCGGAACTGAATTAACATACTGCTTAATATTTCGTATCATTTGTCCTTTTATTTCTTTAGTGTTTGGAAGAGCTTTTGGCCTGATACCTGATACCTTTACCAACTGTTGACAAGGATGCATGACTGACTTTAATAACGATGTCAGTGGTGTACAATTATATTTATTTCACTCGCAAAATCTACCTAGGGATTAAAAAGTATGAATAACTAAATTGAAACAGACAGAAGCTTCTGGCTAACATAATTTTGTTTGTGGGGTTTCTCTCCTCCCTTACCTTTTGTGATCATTATTTGTACCATCGGCATACCGCCCATGTTCTTTCATTAACATCAGTCTGCTTTACTCAGACTGAAAGAGGAGACCTCGCAGGATAGGGCGTCCAGTAGCGATCATGAATTGAAAAGGTCAACCGAAAAAAAAAAATCTTGACTGCGTCATATGGACCAAAATATTTGTGAAAATTTCAGTAATTGTTAAATGAAGATTTAATTTCTGCTGTTAAACAAAGATATTCCATTTCGTCTTGTTTCTGCTCAGTTCAAGATCACATTCGGCGTCAAATGAGCCTTAAAGCAAAAGCAGGCTGCCTCACCTGAGTGTGAGTCATCGATGAAGTCGAATCTGTGTCATATAAAATAGGCAGAAAAGCCAAATAGGTCGCAAACTTACCTCAGATCAATTGTGTCAGTTTAGGTACTATTTAAGTCAGCAAGAGTTCTTTTTGAATCGGTTTCCTGTTTTTAGAGGGAGCCAACAGCTCGTGGTTTTCGCTATAGCCTTTCTTTGTGCGATGAATCCGTCAAACGCTTTTAATTTGATAGCTGATAGGCAACAGCCAATCAAAGACAATGCGTGTCTCGGTTTATATTCCATTCAAATCAATCGTGCACCTGCACAACACAAAGGTAAAATTGCAGACAGGGCAAAGTCTGGATGATAGATAAGGAGACTGCGCTTCATCTTTAGCCAGGTAGCGGTGTTTTATTGTGACATATGAAGAACACAGTCTAAGATACGTAAACTGTGGTCTCCTTATTAAATGAAAACATTCAAACCACGGGGCCTAATTGAAAGGTTAATTATTATTATCATTTTATCTGGACTGAAATGCAAGTATTTTGCAATTCGTTCGCTATCTTAAGATTATATTTTTATACCTATCACGATAGAACTAGGCACAAACCTTTTACGCATTTCCTTAGGTCAGATCCGTGTCTCTAGTTAGTTTACAGATTCAAGTTAAACATAATTGCAAATGTTATCGGTGCGGTCAACAAAAAGGAACCATCTCTTCCAAAAACAGCTTTGTTTCTCGCCCCCTACTGATTACCCTCATGCCAGTTTTGTTTGCATAAGGCCGGGTCGCATTACAGACGATTTTGCGGAAAATTGTTTAGTCGAGGGACTAAAATCTGTCAACACACCTGTTTTCTAATGCGACCCCTCATTTTTGATTTTTTAAACATTTCAAAATCGGGAAAAAAACATCAAAGATGCCGGTGTGCTTCGGTGAGGCTGACCAATTTTTCCAAATCTCGAAAAACCAAAAGAGCCCGCCGCCAAAGCTGTCAACAGTTGAAAAGAATGACTCCCCATATAGGCGGCAAGGTCACGAAAGTGAGAAAGAGCGCGAAATTTCATCACTCATACTGACTCTTTCATTGCGTGTAGTTCGAAGCTACAGCATGGACGGGCGAGATTTCACCTTTCCTTTCTACGGCCATCAAATGCCAAGAAGTGAGCAGTATTCCTTCCTTCAAGAGCTAGGCAACACACCCCCAATTTGGCCTGTTGTGAGAGCGGAACGAAGAAAACCTGAGAGTCAC